TATATGACTTCACTGGCTTAGCAAATGAGACTTCTTTGACAATAATGCCCAGGCCTGACTCCTGGAAGTACCTGTGGCCTTCTACTGCCCTTGGCTCTGTTATCTAGGTGGATCCAGCACCCTGCTACTTCTGTCAGAACACCTCAAGTCCTTCCACTTTCCTCTGTGCATCACTGTCACCCCAAACACCAAAGCCTCACTCAGTTCACTGGGACTATTCCAGTGAACAGTACGGCAGCCTTGCCCTCACTACACTCTTCTGTACCCTGCATTCCATGTGGTCGTTTCACCTTAGACTCTTGACAAAGACATGGCAGCTGGACCACAGACCTCAGGTAGGGAAGAATAGGGAAGGGGTCTTGAGGTGGAGCAGGAGCCAGATCTGGCAAGACATTTGAATGTGCTTTGCTGTTTGCATTGGAACTGAGAGAAATAGAGTGGTAGGGAAGTGTTTTGAGGGCCGTGGTAGCTTGTTGCAGTTCACATATGAAGTGCTTTGTAGATGGTGGCAGCCTGAGGCAGCTCATTTGTTTAGGGAAACAAACAGGTCTGGGAGAAGGAGGCCATGAGGCCATAGCCCTCCAGGCGGAATAGGATGGCAGCCTGGCCTCCTGTGTGGGAATGCTGTGAGTAAGTGTAAAACTGCAGACATTTCACAGGCAGAGCTCAGGAGTTTTCAGAGAAGCAACTGCACAAGAGATAGGATGGTTCCAGCTGCAGCACTTGGAAGCCCCTGGGAAGAGGCTGCCGAGGCAGAGCAGGTGGGAGGTCCCTGGTTGGAGGTTGTGGAGGGCACAGTGGTGACATGAATTGGCATGCTCTGACATGCTGGTGACAGTAAATTGGCACCTGTGTCTGGGCAAGTGACTAAGGACAACAGTGACGGTTTGACAGCAAGGCTCCAAAACGAGTGACTTTGTTTATCCTCAGGGAGGATGTTTATCATCTGGGAGGCTCTGCCATGGCAAGGCGTGGTTGGTACTGAGTGTATGGTTCCTACCATGGTGAGAAGGAGGTTCATGTAAATGCCTACACGCACGGCTGAAGGCATTAACTAGGCTGAGGACTTGGCCAATCAGAGAGCCTTTTTTTTTTTTTTTAACTCTACTTAGCTATTGTTTTCTTTACTTTCTTCTTTTTAAATCATTATTGTCCACATATGTGTGCATGACATCTATGTATGGGCATGTGTCATGGTGTGTGGAGGAAACTCATTGAATTGTGTATTTCTACCTTTGTGTGCATTCAGGGCCATGAACTCAGATTGGTATGCTTGAGTGGCAAGAGCCCTTACCCCCAGCCCTCTCAGAGGCTGGCCCTACTCCTGTAGTTCTTTATTGAATAGGGACAATAAAGAATTGCATCAATGAAGGGACAGGATTCTCAACTCGGGCCTCTCTGGTGTCTTCTTCTCTAGGCCAGCGAGGGTTTTGAGCCTTAATTCCCAAACTTGGGACTGCAAATTCTTCATTCTGCTTCCACATTTTCCTCTTTCCTATTAAGTATTTACATAAGAAAAATCATTCCAAGTGTTATTTACTATAGTTTAAAAAACTCTTACTGTGCTTTTCTTGTTTTCAAGTATTACATTTTGTGTTCTGTCATTTTCTACGTAGCACTACGAAGAATAAATTAACATTTGTTAATCAGAGAATGAGCAAAATCCATTAAAATTGATAATTGATTTCTGTCTTTACAAATTGAATAGTAAGATTATTGAACTGTAAATTTTAGGACTGGGAAGGTTTTTAATGGCTATTTTAAGTTTTGATGCCCCCTTTTTAAGTTTCTGTCTGAGATCATTGAGGCTCAGGTAAATCAAGAATCTGGTGGATGTCTCGGCTGATAAAGTGCTTGCTTGCACAAGAATGCGAGCTGAGTTCAGATCCCTGGTGGCCATGTAAAAAGCCAAGTGGTGTCACAGCACACATCTGTAAGCCCGAGGGCTGGGGAGGCAGAGACGGCAGGTACCTGGGGCTTGCTGGCCAGCCAGTGTGATAAGCTCCAGGCAGACCAAGAGACCCTGCCTCCAACACAGGTTCAGAGGCACAGGAGAAAACACTGAGTGTCGACCGCTGACTATCACATACACACATGTACACATGTGCACACAGACATAGTACACACATGCGGCAAATATTCAGCAAGCTTAGCCTGTTTTATAAATTTGCACAATAGTGGTTTTCATGATTTCTGACAGTTGGTGATAGATATTTCAAGTGATTTTTTTCCTTAATTACTAAGCAATGCTGAAATATCAACTGTAATGAGGAAAAAATTAAACAACTTTAAATATTCTGATTACCACATGTTTTCTAGTTAGTAAAGTAACATATCTGTGGCAGTTTCTAGGATCAAAATAGTAACAGTGTTGGGGACACTAATTTTGATTTTTTTTTTTTTGTAAGTCACATCATTAAAAGGTGATTGCAACTCAGATTCTCTCTTATAGACAAGCTAGCTCTACTCTGAATCCCAGCTTTGCAGGTTGTGGAAGTGGGTCAGGAAAACCCGCCTCCCCTCCCTGGGTTGTTAGCACAGAAGACAGAAGGCACCAGGCTGGAACCTGTACTGAGCAGTTTGGTGGCAGGGGATGTGTCCTTTGATACTGCCAATGTAGGAGCCTCAGGGCTGGTGGCAGCTAAGGAAGGGGGACAGACTTGGTCAGGCTTAGTGAGGGGACAGACTTGGTCAGGCTTTGCAGCTCTTACATGTCTCAGCTACCTCTACTCTTTCATTAAGAAAATGAAAGTCAGAAAGGTTTAGTTTGGGTTCTGTTTTGCTCAAGGGAAGTCTTAAAAAGGGAATTTTATATTAAGTTCTTAAAGTTTTTTTTTTTTCTTGTCTTATTTTTCAACTATACGCAGAGAGTGAGTTGTCTCCAGAGCTCACTGCTCTGAAACATAAGCAACAGCACATTTTCTGTACAGACTACTGTATATTTATAAAATCCAGGGAGCAGCCTTACCAGGCCACAGTAGAGGACAATGCAGCCACTTTTGATGAGAACTGATAGACTAAGATCAGAAAGAAGGAGAGGAGGACCTCCCCTATCAGTGGACTTGGGGAGTGGCATGCATGCAGAAAGGGGAGGGAGGGTGGGATCGGCAGGGGAGGAGGGAGGGGCTTATGGGGGGATACAAAATGAATAAAGTGTAATTAATAAAAAAAATAAAAGATTTATAAAAAAAAATCCAGCATTTTGGTCGCCTACTTCAAATCTCTGGCGTCTTCCTTGATTATACAACATTTGGAAATCATGAAAACAACCACCATGGTCAGATTTCACCACATTCTCTGTATTTGCAGAAGGATTAACCCTAGTACTTGAGTGATATATTGTTGGATCATGTATTTTTTGAAGTACTGTAATGAAAATATGGAGATGAATAAATGGGGAGTGGCATATTTAGTTATTGAGTAGGCAGAACAGTCCATCACAAATTGTACATAAATTTAGTGCCATTTTGATGAAGTACAACATTTGTTTTGTAAAGGGGACTGTTAGATCATACTTTGTGCAAAACAAGTTGCTGAGAATTACCAAAACAGTCTCTAATAGTGGCTGGTGATGGGCAGCTTTCCTGGGTTGTACCTAACCAGAATCTTACAGGATAAAAATGGTGCCATGAGGCAGTAAAATAATTACAGAATTAAATCTGTTGGCTAGAATAAAAAAGATTCAAACACTATAGGAAATTACTGTATGAGAAAGGCTAGGTTGCATTTCTCTAAGAAAGGGAAGTTTACTTACTAGTGTAAATGGTAACTTAAAAGAGAATAGATTAGAGCTCTCCAAATGAAAGATCTAAATGGAAATGCATGGTACTAGAAGAAATTTTAGGTGGCTGTCTATAAAATTTTGAAATAGGAAAAACCTTCATAGACAAGGCATGCAGTGGAGAAAAAATAAAATTATTGACATAGTTAGCCACATATTTTGAAAGTTCTAACTGAATACATTGTAATTATATCAAAGTAATTTTTAACACATATGACACATGACAGCCAACAATTTGATCACCACAGTCTTTAAGGAGAGGAGCAGGAAGTCATAATAGTTGAATACACACTGCAGGCAGTTCATGGAAGAAAAATGTACATTTCATGGAAACAGTACAGTGGTCTAGCATACCAATAGGGAGGGAAGTAAAAGTTAAGACAGCAGTGTGGGCAAGGTTCACCTGTCTGAAGGGCATGCTTTGTGTCTGCGCTCTGATGGGAACTGACCCAGGGCTTACCAATATGAGTCACACCCAGATCTGTCCTAGGGGGAGAGAAGCACCAGCCTGTGCCTTCCCCAATTGTAAACAGGTTACGTAGCAAGAGAGTGAAAAAAAAAAAAACCTGCACACACATTAAAAGAGATAAAGAAACTAACTGCAGTACTCTGGACTCTGCAGTATTTCACATTGATTTAGAAGATGCCTTTGTTAACAAGTATTGATTAAGAATAATCATAATTAGAAAAGAAAAAAATCAGACAAATATGAATGTCACTTGGACTAGAAGTTGTTTGGTTAGAGAGAATGGTTTAGAGGGAGAAACAGATACACTAACACCCTTAAATGATTTCTTTTAGGTTTTTTTTTTTTCTACACTTCTCACCCTCCACCCTCTGAGTATGCACATTTTGTGGTGGCAAATCAGGTTGTTGGTTTTGTTTTTCTGAGACAGGATCTTATTCTCTGTCCTCAAACTCAAATGTAGATAAGCCTGGCCTTGAATTTCTGATCCTCCTGCTTGTATCTAAAGTGCTAGAATCACAGGCCTTGGTCACATCACTGAGCTGGTAAGTGAGTTTAAAAAAAATGTATTTTGAATGGTGATAGTTTGGAAGAAATCAAGCATTTTGTAAATAAAAACAGGAGAAGTCTTTTGTGGCCAAAGCAGTCTGTGTTGGTGGAAGGTTATCATGGTACCGTGTGTGTTTTAAGTTTCTAGTTATGGTTGGTCTACGTTTCTGACATGCATTTGCCTTTTCCTCTTCTCTTTTGCAGTGGCAGCCGGCTGGGAGGCCTGGTCACAGTGCTGTGCTTCTTTTTTAATCATGGAGAGGTGGGTAGTCAGGGTTACTACAGAAATACAACTTAATTTCAACTTAATTTCTTTATGTTTGATTTGGAATAGTGTTTCTTAAGCATTTAATTCTATTATTTTAAACCAAAATTTAAATGCTGGTGGTCTCCAAAGTGACAGGAGTCTTAGTGATTTGAGAAAATAGTGAGTCTGGTTTTTATAGCTGGTCCCTTATGTTAGAGTAATGCACGTTTAAGTATCCTGTTCAGACTATTTGCCAAACCTATACATTTGCAAATATGCAAGGCAGTCCAAAGACAGCAATATTGTCAAGTACATAGTCTCTGGATCCATGCTGCCTGGGTTCAAATTCCAGCTTTCCCACTTATTATCTGTGACACCTGAGCAAATGTTAGCCTGTCTGTGCATTCTCTTGCTTTGTAAACAAAATCCCGACGTTACTCATCCCATAGGGTTTTTGCATAAATCAGATGAATCCATGCATAAAGAGCCTATTACAGCGTTTAAAACATAAAGTGCCATGTGCTTGCTGGCCCAGATTGGTAGTTCTACTTATTACTAATAATTTTCAGGTAAAATTCAAGTAAGTTCAAATTTTCAATAAATTCTTTCCTCTAAGTTAATCATACTTGTAAATTAATTTTTAGTAATATGTCTGTCTAGACTTCTTATGGAAATATTTGTATGAGGAAGAAAAAAAGATATGTGAAATGTCCACATCTTTTATCTTCATGCCCCAAGTGTCTGTAATCTTTGAACATGTACAGGTTTTAAGAGTGAGTAATGATATGCAAACTGGAGTCAAAGGTGAACTATTAGCCAGTTGCTAACAGCTTCTCACCTGATGTACCCTCGCTGTTTAGGATCACAGAAACGCAGGAAGAGAGGACTTGGATTAGAGTCTTCCACCTGTGAGTGCAGCAGCAACAGTTCATTGCTGGAGTGTGAATTTGGACCAGCAGAGAGAAGGATTTTGCTTTTTCCTGACTCTGGATTCTGCATATTGTAATAGCCTGGACTGTGGGATGTTTTGAAGCTGATTCAATGAGAATGATGTTTGCAATGGAAATAACTGCTTAATAATGCAAGAAAGGAGCACTGTATGTTGCGAATAGGATGCCCCGCATGGGGCTATTGAATATGTAGATCCAGACACAGTGAGAAAGGCACTGTTGTTGAGAACAAAAGGCCTTTGTACCCATCATGGTCCAGTGTCCTGGATTATTGGTTTCCCTCTTTACGTTTCTCTTACAACCAGGATGCCCAAGTAGCAGGAACATCGTTTCTTACAGTCTTCAATTTTAAAAGTATAATTCACATTAGTTGATTTTTTTTATGTTGTTGGTTTTTTTCCTCTTGACATTTTCCAGCTGTTTAGTTTATTTAAAACATGCTTAGTTTGATATATATTTTTAAGAAAAGATACATGAAGCAATTAAAATTAGAATTTTAGTTTTATGGAAATAACCAGTTATATTTTCTTTAACTAGTTTAGGGCAGAAGAGTAATATTTTTATATAGTGACATTAAAACTTAAAGCATACACTACAGTTTTGGTAAATATTGATAAGAATTGAAGTAATCCAAAACTTAACTATAATTGTATATGTCATTTGCTTTCAGACCGTTAGAACTTTAGTCCATTTCCTTTTAATCCTTTAAAACCTTTCTAGCTGGCCACACAGCTTTCATGTTAGTGCTCAAGTTTGAAACTACCCTGGTCTACAGGTTTTAGGTCAACCAGGGCTACACAATGAGACCTGTCAAATTAACAATCAAACAAACATAAATAAATGTATTTCCTGTTTTAAAGTATACGATTTTGGTATGACAGGAGTTGTCGCCTCTGCTCCTGCCTATTCGTGCATCCCTAACTAGGGAGAACATTGCTCAGTGAAGTTGCCACTGGCTGTTAATCAGTACCTTTCTTTTTAAACTTGCATTTGTTTATTCTGTGGGTTGTTAGAGGTATGTGTGCTGTGGCATTCATGTGAGGGTCACTGGACAGCTTTCAGATGTCTGTCACTCTGTGCTAGACCAAATGAAGGCTGTCAGGATTGACAGCAGGAGCCTCTATCTGCTGAAGCTTCCTGCTGCTCTAGCACTTTACTTTCTTAGAAGAAATATTTACTCACAGCAGTGAATTGTTCATATGTTTTGGCTTGATAGTTGCTTTAAAAAAAAAAGATTTATTTGTTTATGTATATGGGTACTTTGGTCATGAACATTTGCACACCAGAAGATGGCATCAGACAGTTGCAGTCTGCCATGTGGGTGCTGGGAATTGAACTTAGGCCCTGAGGAAGTCCTGAGTGCTTAGGTCCTGAGTGCTCTTAACCATTGAGTCATCTCGCCAGGCCTGTGTTAGTTACTTTTAAGTTCTATTTTTATTAATTAGTAGTCTCAGTTGTGGATCTAAGACGGTATTTGGCATATTATAATTTTTTCCCACAGATTATATTACAAATAAATTTTTTGCCTAACAGAAGAACTGTTATGTTCATAAGCCAAGGGGCATTGCTTGATGGTAGAGTGCTAGCCTAGTATTCTCAAAGTCCTGGGTTTGCTCCCCGCATATCTAAATTAATGTATAGCACAAATGGATTAATACAACTTTTAAAAATAAATTAAAAACCTTGAAATTTGAAATGTGAAAATGAAACATAGGAGCTTTTCACCACCATGAGTGACAGTACTGAGGGTTTGCGTTCCAGGATAAAAACATGCAGATGAGCTTAATTCTTTATTGTTATATCACTGTGGGAAGCTAAGATGATAGTAGCCAAGAGCTTTGTTCTGATTGTCAAACATTTCCTTGTCATAAGCCTGGAAGTGTGTGCCATAGGCTGATGTGCAGCATACTAACTGAAAAGAATGGAGGCTGGGGAATGCATAGCTCAGGAATCTTCCAGGAAGAGCCAGAGGTTATGGATAACATCAGGGAAATAGTATTTTCCAGTCACTCCAGGGCAGTTGCACATATGAACTCACAGTGATTGTGACAACTTGTACAAGCTTCAGCCAGACAAAATCTGAGCGGGGGTGGTGGTGGTGGTGGTGGTGATGGTGATGGCAAGAAATCCCACCCCTGGCAGAAGAGCTACTAGTAATCCATAGTTGCTGGGGGAGGGAGAGACCGTGGTCACAGGCCCCACTCTGCAGTCTGTACATCACAAACTGGATTTGACACGGTGGTGGGGCAGGGATGTAAGTTGGGTGGGAAGATGGGGAGGAGGGAAAGTTGTTATGGGAGGAATTAGGAAAGGAGATGAAGATGTTAAAATATGTTTGTATGCAATTCTCAGAGAATTTACTGAAAATGTTTTTAAACAAAAGATGATGAAGGTCAGGCTGTAAGAGAACACTGAAAGATCGTTAGAGGAGTCCAGGTTTACAGGGAGAATAACATCCATGGTAAGCAGATACAGTGAGAAGAGCCAGCTGTGAGAATCACACAGCTGTCCATGTTGACATTCACCTGGCAAGGTGGTTATCACAGGTTGAAAGTGGATAAATACCACAGAAAGATTGTGGAATGGGGAACACAATCTCAGCAAGTAGAAAAAGAAAATGGCAAACCAAAGGAAGAAATACTTGAGGATGTAGGGAGAAGTGAGCTTACACAGTGTGCATCACAATCCAGTTAAAGGAAATATCAGCAACACAGTGTTCCTTAACTTGATTTGTCAGAAACGTTTATACATGAAAGGGTTTGGGTGGTGGTGGGGAGGGTACAAAGGACTCCATTGCAGGGCTGGAGGATAGCGCTGTTGAAAGGGTGCTGGCCTAGCATCTGGAGGCCTTGGAGTCAGGCCTCAGCACCGCAAAGAACAAAGCAGAAACAGCTATACTGTATGCTCTTCAGCCTTGTGAGTGTGAGAGTGTGTGTATGTTGTCTTTGTGTGTATGTGTCTGTGTGTAGGTATGTGTGGGTTCCTGCAGAGCCCAAGAGGACAATGGATTCGCTGGAGCTAGAGTCACATTTGTGAGTACTCTACTGTGGTGCTGGGAACTGAACTCCTGCATCTGCTCTTAACTGCTGAGCCATCTCTCTCCAGCCATGCTTCAAGTTTTAACTGTTAGAAATTCCTTGTGTGCTTGTGTGTGTGTGTGTGTGTGTGTGTGTGTGTGTGTGTGTGAAATAGGATTGGTTAGCTTTTTTCATAGAGATGTTTAAAAATTAGTATACACGGTCAATGTTTTATATAAAATATACTGTCATTTATAATTATATTCATGTATAAACAAAAATTGCAAATTTTCACTTTAGAAAAGCAAGTGAAAGTACATGGAAATATTGTCTTGTGGGTCTTATCTAATTAACCCTTTAAAACTGCTCACAATATAATTATTCATGTTAGTTTCTTAAATTTATTTATTATTTTAAAGAACATATTTAATATGCATCATTCCATTCCCTCTTACCCATTCAAATCCTCCTGTGTTCCCTCCCAAGTTTATGATTTTTAATTATATTATTAAAGGTATATACATGTGTGCACACAAATGCGTGCCTGCGTGCGTGCGTGTGTGTGTGTGTGTGTGTGTGTGTGTGTGTGAGTGCATGCATGCTGAGTTCATTTAACATTGTTTATATGTACCATTTATAATTAAACAACCTAGCTGGGTGCTCATCCACCCTGGTGAAAACGGACTCTTCTTCCTTTAGTAGCTACTTGCCAGGTGTTGTGCTTCATCTAGTGTTGGGGCCATTTGCAATCTACCCTGTCCACAGTGGCAGGTCACTATGCTTGCCTCATCTGAGGCGACCCTTGTTGAGATTTCTTAGGTGCGTGTTTTCTGTCCTGTCTAGAGAGTACTATGTAGAAGCAGAGCCTTTGGCTCCTCCAGTCTTTCTCTCCCCTCTTCCACAATTTTTCTTGGGTTTTAGGTGTAGGGGTTCTATTGCAGATCTGCCAGTTGGGCCTGGGTACCCCAACTGTGCAGTTTGATCAGGTGTAGATGTCTGTATCGCCCCCATCTCTTGTATAAAGAGGCACTGTTGGAGGGGGGCTCCACTTGCCTGTTTGTATAAGGATAGGGCTTTTGAATAGTTAGAAATTATAAATGGAAGTAGTCGGTTATCTGCTCAGGTCTGTGACCTCTCCAGCCATGGGTAGTTAGCTAGATACCTATTACCAGGCAGAGGTCCCTCCTATCGAGAGGTGAATCTAATTAGATGCTGCTGTTTATGCCCCAGGCAAAAGTGCTGCTTTTGCACCTTGTGGATATCTTCCCAGTCCAGTCACTGCTGTGGCTCTACAGCTGGGTAGGATTATTGTCAGCTTCTTGTCTTAGACAGCTTATATAGTGCCTTCTGATACCGTGGAGCCTGTCCTCAGGGAGGAGGCTTCCAGTCCAGTTGCATCACAATTCCTCCAGATCTTAGGTCTAAAGTGGTTGGTGTCTTCAGCAATAGGCTCTGAAGTTCTGGAAGATAACCAAAGGCAATGGAAATGAATAGACCACATTGGTTTGGGAGACTTTTGTATTTCTCTGACCAACAATGTGACACACACACTCTCTCTCTCACTTATCACTCACTCTCACTCACTCTCAGTCTCTCTTGTATACACACATTAAGTTAGTTTATCACATGTTTCCGAATGGCTTTTTCAAACATCTTTAGTGTTATCTGTCCTTCTCTCTGTATTTCCATATTTTCTTTGTAGCACCTGCCTGCTAATACCCGCAGCTCTAGAGCTCTCTCCTTGCTTCTTTGCAGTCTTGGGTTTCTAAAGATTGGAGCTAGGATCCACAGTAGGAGACAGACGATGATCAGTCTCTATGTTCTGGGTGACCTCCGTGCAGTATTTTCTAGTTCTGTCTGCTTACCTGCAGATTTAAGTTTCTCTACACCTTAATAGATTCCACTGTGACTATGTGCCATACTTTCATTAGCCATCAATCAGTTGAGGGATATTTGAGTTGCTTCCATGTCCTGGATATTTTGACCAGGGCAGCAATGAACATGCATGAGCAGATATCTCTATAGTAGGATATCGAATCTCTTAATTGTTAATTAAACTGAAATTAAAACATAAATTCTCATGATACTTGTTATATATTGGCATGATTATGTTGGTTATAAAGATTTGGAAAATGATTCTAAGACCACTGAAAACAATTTTGATAATCTTGATAATATAGTTTATAGTAGGAAGTTATAATATCCCAGTATGCATTAAATGGAACCACTAAAGATTTAGTAGCTTATGCTTACTAAGCAGGAAGACTTATTAACTTTCAATGTATTTTTAAATAGAAAAATTATATTATCTGTGTATGCACTGTAGATTCAGTCAAAATAATTGCCAACACTTGTAATTAAAGATATTAAATGTGCTCTTAGAGACATTTTGAAATACATGCTGTGTTATTTCCTGTGGATACAGTAGTGCAGCAGACCACCGACACTCTTCTAGACTGAACCTCCGTGCTTTTGAGCCAAGTTTTCTCCTGCCCTCCCTTCCCAGCCATTTCTCCTTCCTGCCCCCAAAGCTAGGAAGCACCAGTTTAGTTTTCAGTTCTCTGACTGTAACTTTTTTATATTTACTACATAAGTATGATCACGTTTACCCTCACTTTGACTTACCAGTTTTTATTTAAATTTCTTTTAAGGTTTTGTTATATTGTGTTATATGTATGAGTGTGTGAATGAATATGAGTGTGTGTGTTTATGTATGTTTGTTTATCATATCACATATACCACATATGAAAGCAAGGACAGTTTCAGGTTGGTTTTCTCCTTTCCCATGTAGGTCCTGGACATAGAGCTCAGGTTATGAACTCAGGATTTGAGCAAGTGCTTTCACCTGCTGATCTCTTTATTTGGCGTTTTTCATGTTTGCCCTGTCTCACTATTGCATACACACCTTATGCAGCCAGGTTTCTTTTTTCTTTTTTGCTCCATTTGGATATGAGATGCAGGCTTGATGGCATCTTGCTTTAAACACCTTGGTATATGTTGCCTGAAAGCTGCTGCATCATAACGATTGAATTTTTTAATACTTAGGAAATTCAGTGATGATATAATATACTGTACATAATATACTAGCTATTCCACTCAGTTCCTTTATGCTTGTGTTTTGGATACAGAATTTAAGGACCAACTATTGTTTTTAGTTATCAGTTTATCTAGAATGCTTCTTCTAGAGCAATTCTTCTGTCCACTTTACAGGATGGGCATACAAATTTGGGCCTACTGCTCTGTAAAGGCTTCATGATTTGAACTTTTCTGTTTCCTCACAAATGGGTCCTGATGTGACAGTGTTTGAAGACTATAGCAGGAGATATATCATTTTTATTGTAGTACATGGAGAGGCTTGTGAGATCAGTTTGCCACATTATTGGATTTCTTCAAGCAGTCCCATGGTTCAGCTGGCAAAAGTTAGATTTATCTGTTGAAAAGATGCTCTTGTTCCCTTTTATATTAGTAAGTGGTTTGTATCTTGATACTTTGAGATATAGAATGTCTTATTTCCTTGATGCATCTAACTAAATGCTCACATCCATTGATGTTGTTGCCTGAATCACTTACTCTGTTGGCCTTTGAAAACAGCAATTTCCTGGTTGTCTTATTTTATCTATGTTTAGTAGTTTCTGTTCTATAACGACAAAATTTCCCTTTCTTCTATTATTATATACTATTATTATATATGTTCTTTTTATATGTAGTGCTCTATAATGTGTCATTGTAATTCTTAATGTTAAAATCACTACAAATTCAATAGTAGCCTTGACTTTAAATGGTATATAATTTACATATGTTAATGCCACATATGGTAACTGTCAAGCTGAGCAGCTTTTACGTAAGTACCCAGGTACATTGCCACTCTGAAGATCAGTGGTTGTCGACCTTCTTAATGCTACAACCCTTTAAGACAGTTCATGTTGTGGTGACTCCAACCATAAAAGCATTTCATTGCCACTTAATGTGATTCTACTACCTATGAATCTTAATGGAAATATCTGGGATGCAGGATATCTGATAGGCAACCCCTGTGGAGTTTAGACCCCCAAGGTTGAGAACTGCTGCTCTATATCAAGATAGAAGATACAACTTTAACTCTCAGCAGGTGTTCCCCTGACCCTGTCCAGTCTACACTCCTAACTCCCTCCAAGGGAATTGTATAACTCCTATCTCCCTCATTATTGATGCATTTGGTACTCTTGAGACTTTCTAGAAATTGGTTCCTACTTTCTTCTTTGAAACTTTCTTATTTGTGAACAGTGTCTGCTGGACCCCCAGCTCCCCTCAGGACCTCCAGTACCTCTCCCTCCCAATTCTAAGCTTTCTTTCTAATTATAGCTTTGTTAGTACACTGAGTCCGGTCAGCCATTGACGAGTACATGGGTAGGCGGCAAACCACTAGGGCATTGACATCTGAGCACCCTCCACCAAAGTAATGTGAATCTCTCTCCCACAGCTGCCATCAGCTGGCTCTAGTTCTCCCGCTAGGCGTGCTCCCGTGGTAGCCCTACCCATATCCATGCTGGAATCCTTAGCTGGATTGTAGGTAGCCATGGCTGCTGTGAATTCATGTGTGCAGTAGCTAAGTCACGTCCAGAAGACTAGTCCACAGCCCTCCTCCCCTCATCCAACTCTTAGATTCTTTATGTGCCTGTTACATGATGATTCTAGGGCCTTGGTGGAGACAAGTTGATTCATAAACAACTGAACACTCATAGTCTCCTGCTCTCAGCACTTTGAACTATTATGAGCCTGAGTGAACCGTTATACATGACAATAGGAAACTTCTGCCAGACTTGAGAGTAGCACAGATCTGTGGATGTGAGCATAAATATGCATAAGGCAGTTCTATAGTGTGGCCCTTCCCCAGGACATTCGGTAGGATCTAGTGCAGCAGAGAGGAGAAGCGCCCCGTGAACCCCGAGTCATGATCACCTGTTAACTGCCAGAGTTTTGCCTGGGCCCAGTGCAGGCCGCCATAGCGCAGTGGCTACGTTATGCACAGGAGACAACTTTTCGTAGCCTTCCCTTGGCTCGTGTCCCTTAAGTTTTTTCCATGCTGTCTTCCAGGGTGCTTTCTGAGCAGAGGTGGGGTAACCGTCCTGTGCAGAGCTGAGCAGCCAGTTGTCGCGTGGGCAGCACCTGGGGCAGCCATACATCCGCATTCCGTTCACTGCTGCTCAGCGCGGAGACACTTCTGAGAAAGACTGGAGTGGCATATCACTTCTTTTCATAGGTTCTTTCAGTCTTTCAGTCACTTTCTTTCTGATACAAAAAGATGTCTCAGTATCACCTTGTCCCGAGATACAAAACCAACAGTTTTCACAGAATCTTGTATCCTATTGGGGAAAATATTCTTTAGAGATCACAGTCTGAACTCTAAGTGCTTGTGTCTCTCCCAGCACTGAGGACCTCTGTGTGCCATCAACAGTCTCACCCTTCGACCTGCTCTGAAATGTGTCATGGGTTGTTGTAAATAATATTTATCCAACCTGTAGCCATTCTACTCTCAGGCATGTCTCCAAAGAATAGTAAAGTTTTACCAAAAGTTTACCACAGCACTAGGCACAGTATCCAAGATACAGAATCAAGAACGAAGGTTTACTGATGGACAAATGGGTAAGAACAGTGTGGCACACATACACTCTGCATGTCTCTTGAGCCTCCCACCTCCCACTGTTCCTGTTTATAGGAAACCCAGCAACTTGTTTGCAGTGCATCATTTAAAGTGCAGATGGGAAACACTTGGTGTTTGTTGATTGCACCGTTCCCCCGGTACTCAGTCAGTACCTGGAGGAAGTGCATCCTGTGGCCTTTTTGTTTTTCAGTGTACCCGTGTGATGTGGACGCCTCCTCTCCGTGAAAGCTTCTCGTATCCATTCCTTGTGCTTCAGATGTTGCTTGTGACTCATATTCTCAGGTAACTTGAACTAATTCTCCTGTTGGAGGTTTATTTTCCCTTAAATAATATAAACTAGAGCTTTGTAAGTTTTTTTTTTAAGAGTCTTATTTTCTTAATAAAAATTGCCATAGTAAAGTATTGTGATCTTGTTACAGTGAATTAATAAAGATGATTTTCAGTATTTTTTTAAAAATGTAACTTTAAAACCTACTTCATACCAAACACCTTTCCTTCGCCTGCCCTCTGGTCCTGTTTTTCTTCTGTGTCCATGGCAACTGCTCAAGATGAGTAAATTCACATTTATGTCTATTCTCTACATACCCTCGTCTTTCTTTTACCATGTCAGCTGCCAAAAGAAGGGAGAGGCTGGCTGCCCTGAATGCCCTCCTGTAGGACTCGGTCCGTTGGAACAGAACTCAGAGAGTCCCAGATGGGAGCACGGACACATGCGCTTTGTGTCCTCCTGCTTGTCTGTTGTCTAAATATCAGATCGTACAGAAAGAAACCACCTATACAGACCAGAGAAACGCTGGGAGAATTCCTGCTAGAAATACAGAAGTGAATTAGGTTTAAGTACCACTGACAGCATAAGAGCAGCTTCTGTCTCCGAGGAAACATCCTGAGTGTTCCCAGGCATTGCCATGATCCAGAGCACCGACCTAGAATAGGGCCTGTGGGCCAAAGCCTACAAATACACAGAGCTGTCTTGGTCTGAGAACTCTACTCAGTGCTCTGCTGCATTTTGAAGAACAGTAGTGAAGACTGCTCTGCTGCCTTTCTTCTACTTCTAAGGGCCGTGTAATTACACTGGGCTCACCTGGATAACCAGGGTCATCTCCCTTGCCTCGGGTTAGGTGACTAGAAACCTTACCTCCGCTTACACGTTCAATTCCCCTTTACCCCATCTGTGACATCCCCAAGAATTCAGACACATTCTACTGTGGCTGCTCTGTGCCTGTGGCCCACCTTTTTATGCACACTACTTTCTGAGTTTCCTCAAGGTTCTTCTGTGGCATCACTCCCCACCACCCTTTGTTCCTGCCTCCTCAAGGGCAGGAATACTTTAGCAATGAGGTTAGCAATGGGTTTTATTTTAGTGAATTGGTTTGTACAGTTTAGAGTTTTAAGTGGTTTTGAACATTCAGGTATTAGAGAAATCACCTTCTCTGGTGCTACAGTGTTTGTTTGTTTGTTTGTTTGTTTTTTCTCAGTTTTTCTTAGTGTTTGTTTTTGTGTCTGAGATAGTGGTGAACTGATCATCACCAGCTGGAATTCCTTTGGTTTCTTTTGGTTCTTGTCTTCTGAGTGTGTTCTGTACCCAGCTGCTGGATTAGTGTTACATTCTCTCCCCGAATTCTCAATTTCCCTTTTTGCCTATAAAATGAAAATCAAGCTTCATATTCCAAAGTAGTTGACAAATGCTTTGGTTTACAGAGTGGCCTTCCAACCATGTGACTGTGACCTACTAAGTTAGAAGTAAGTGTTCACTGCCGTCCAGCACATACATGGGCACAGGCAAACCCAGGGCTGCAGCTGAAGCGTCACAGAACGGAGCCCTGTCTTACAGGGTGAAGCCAGATAGTGCCTGCCTCTTCTACTTCATCAAAAGTGCTGGATTTCATCTAGTTTCTTGATCTTTAAGGTTGTCTGCAGTTGACCAATACTTGGGTTGAATTAGAGCAAAAAAGGAGGATAGTTCCTTGGAGAAGAAGTCGAGGAAGGCACCCATGTGGCATCCCTTGCTGCCTGCTCTGCACCTTAATGTGCCAGTCTGCACACTCTGCTGCTGTGAGGGTGGTAGCAGGCAGATGGTGGCGGGCTAAGGGGCTTGGCACTGGCTCATACATGGGCGCAAAAGCTGCTCCTGAAAGCCTCCTAAAGTACCAGCTGGCCCCAACATGACACCCTAATGGCGGCTCCTTCCTTGCCTCTCTACTTGCCTTGTCCAAGGTGCAGTTGCAGAAGACTGGCTTTATGCTGCTTCCTGGCAGAGCCCTGTCACCCACTCTTACCCAGCATTCCATCCCTGCAGTGTTTGTCTACACACTGCTTAGCTCACGCCTTTGTCATTTCTCCTAGACATTCTCTTACTTCTTCAACTAAATGAATCTGTTGACTCAGAATTTTAACAAGTTTAATTGTAAATTCACCAAATGCAATGTGACAAAAATATATGACTATAGTCACCTGGTCTCCCTCCCTCAATTTGGAGGGCTTTGTGGTTTTGCAGTAATAATAGATATTTACTTTTTATAGAAAATTATTATAATTGAGAATCAGAAGGTATAATTTCTAACCCTTGTTAGAAATTCTAACCCTTGATTCATCTTGTGTGCAGTTTATGTGAACTCCAGATCTTGTTTGCGATTCTAATTGGCAGCAGTTTGGAGCTATGCTGGACTGTTTTGTAGTTAAACCTCCTGATATTTGTCTTTTCAAGGGCTACAAAAATTTACAGAGGGAGTTTGGTTGCACTCTGCATTTCCAATGTATTCTTCATGCTTCCTTGGCAGTTTGCCCAGTTTGTGCTTCTTACCCAGGTAAGGTGGGCACATTTTTATATGTAAGTATTTGAGCTTAGTGCTTCTGATTATGTGAGCTCATTCTTATCAAACTGTAACTAAGATTTATTTTTTATTTTTATTTTCTGAGAATTTTATATATGAGTACTTATTAATACCATTTCCTCCACTCTTCCCTATATCTCCTCCTATGTCCACCTTTCATATCATGCTCTTTTATTTTTTTATTAATATTGCATGTATATATACCAACTGTCATCATCCCTGAAACACTCTCTTCCTGTTTCATGAGTCTTAAGTTCTAAGATGTTTTAGGTCAATTTTCTTATAAAGAAAATTCAGAGTGTGGATGTTTGTGAGACTCATGTATTAATGTATTATTAATGTACATTGTGAGACTCATGTATTAATGTATTATTGTATTATTAATGCATTAAGGTAATATATTATTAATGTATTAATGTATTATTACTTACTAATAGAACTTAGGTGAGTAGGAATGCTTGTCTTTGTTATTATGTAATCATTAGTGTGCTGAAAAGTTAACCCAAAGTACGTCTCTTAAGTGAAATGTGTTCTCTTTATGATTAGTTCCATAAATATGTGTATCATTGTGTACATTCTGTTTATATGTATCAAATCCATTCCCCCTGTTCCCTCTCCTCTAATTCCTCCCCTTTTCTCCTTCCAACTCATGTACTTCAGTGCTCACATTCCCCCATTCCTGTGTGCTATGCACCCCCCTTCCCCCACTGAGGACATTTAGTTTCCTGTATGTGCCTGACTGTGCAGTCATCAGTTGGAAAGTGAATAGCATCTCAGGGCCCTAAATCCCTAAAAAAAACTGATTACCCCCCCATCATCAAATAGATCCTCCAATAGGGGAGAACTTCATGAACTCCTCCCCAATCCATTGTGGAATTTTTGTCTGGCTGCCTTAGATTCTTACATGTAGAATAAATATGCATGGGACAAAAGGATGAACAGGCAAATTGCTTGATGGGGCTCTCCTAGTAGGCTGTAATTTATAATCTTTCCATGTATTCTTGCTTCTCTCTTCTACATTTAAAACAAAGTAGTCCTCTGAGAGAAGAGGCTTTTGTGGGTTCAGGTTTTTTTCTCAGTTGCTAGTAATGAAATTATGCTTGCTACATTTATATAATGCTGTCAGAGAGATTCTCTTAAATACTCAAAAATAAAGGCAGATATGTATTTTAGTTTTAATTATATACTGCCTTCATATACAAAACAAACAAATAACAAAAAAAGCGGGAAGACAAGGAAAAAAAAAACAAAACCTTAACTTTTCTTCATTCTAGATTTATCTTTTCTGAAACACAGGGAATGAAAGTGCCCACTTTACTAGTTGGGTTAGCGCCAGATGGTAGTGCGTTCAAGTCTCAGCATCATATGCAGTGCTCAGCCAGATGTCAGTAAGATTCACTGTTTTGATTTATTTTATTTTATTTTGAGGCAGAATATTGGTAGCCTTAAAGTGATGATCCTCTCGCTTCAGCTTCCTGGGTGCTGATATTAAAATGAGCGCTGTTTTGGACAATCCACAGAGTAGATACTTGACAGTTGCACGTTAGGAGAACTGATAAGCGGAGGATCAGTTAATAGTTATATTCAATAATACATTGGGAGCTGGAAGGAAAACTAAAGCACTCAATTCCTTTGTAAAGATAATCTGAAAAATAATGTAGTCTTGCTTTACTCTTATGGCTACTTGTTTTACGAATGTGTACATATGTGATTGTATATAACTTATTTTTAACATGATTCTTTTTTATTTCAGATTGCGTCCTTATTTGCAGTGTATGTTGTGGGATACATTGATACATGTAAATTACGGAAGATCATTTATATCCACATGGTAATGCTTTCCATTGTTTGCTTTCTACTTAGTTTGACCTTAATAAACTCCTGATTGATATCTGACTTGTTCATGCCTTAAACTAGTTGTGACATGAGTCTTTAATGAATCAGTGTTGTTCAATATTTGGCACAGTTGCCCTTGTTTTAAATAACTACCACGAAAGTTTTCATTTGTATCTCGTTCTATGATGGGCCCTGTGCCCCGCTTATGTGCCTGAGCATAGTGAACATGGACTGGGGCACTGTCCTCCTTGGAGCCACCTGTTAAAATGAAGTGGATGGTCCACTCACTGCCGTGTGAGACACATGATCCTCAGCATTCCTTCTTCTGACCTAGTCAAATGGGAAAATTGGAACTGTAATGCATGTTGGAAAGAACTAAAGAACAAAAACCTAAGAGAGAAGAGGGCATGTGGGGAGCACAAAGCCAGGGGAAGAAGATGGAGGCCATGAGGGAGGGGCTTAGCCCAGGTAAGGATGAGCAGGACCAGGTGGAGGGCAGGCAGGCAGTACTGTCACACAGAACAATAGTCTGAGTTGGTGGAGCAGCAGGAGGAAACCCCTGAGGCTAGATGGTTGATGCTGGTTGCATGTCTGTGCTTTGAAACCATCTGTCTCCCCTCTGTCATTCCTTCTTCTATATATAAAATCAGTGTTTTCTTTCTCTCATGATCTTAATGTTGTTGCGTTGGACCATAACTGCCTTTTCTTGTAATTCACACTAAGAGATGTTCTTATGTGTAGTTATCAGAAGCTTATGAATAGAGTTGTGTACGGTATTCGTGAGCATGAGTCTGCCGCCCTAGCATTCCGTGGGACACTCTCACCTCGCTCTGAGGTGACTACTGTCCTCAGTAGGCTGTTTTTGAGGGGCTTTTCTTCTGTTTTGCTATGTAGATATTTTGAAGTAGTCAACATACTTAGGAACTAAAAACTTGGTTTTTCAGGATGATATAAATGGTCTTTTTTTAAGGCTGAAGTTTTCTCTCAGGTTTCTGAGATTTGCATGTTACTGGAGTCCAGAAACGCCCACTGCTGTGTATTCTCCATGACCTGAATAAAACAGTTTATTTCTGCTTCATTGCTGAAGAATATTGAAACTTTTGCTGCCACTTCTGCTTCTTCATTAACAAATAGTGGTGTATAGTCTTTCTAGTAAGACTGGGTCAAGCTTATAGGCATTTTTTCAGCAGTCCTTACCTAATACCACTCTCTGCTAAATTATTAACATGTTCAACCTTATAACTGCTAAATCATTTTTCAAATGGTAATAATAATTAAAAGAGCAATACATAGTGGCTCATGACACTTTTTTTAAATATAATATCTGTATATAAAATAGTATAATTCGTTATAATTTAAATGTTCTCTTTTTTTCTGTGAATCTGTGCATCTTTGATGTGTTTAATTACCCTCGTTTTCATTCCTGAGACCTTCATGTTCAAATCTTTTATTTTTATTTTTTATATTAATTACAGTGTATTTGTTTTATATCCCAGCTGTAGATTCCTCCCTCATTCCCTCCCATGCCCTTCTCCAAGTCCTCAGATAGGGGAGGTCCTCCTCCTCTTCCATCTGACCCTAGCTTATCGGGTCTCATCAGGACTGGCTGCATTGTCTTCCTCTGTGGCCTGGCAAGGCTGCTCCCTCCGCAGGGGAAGGTGATCAAAGTCATGCTCAAATATTTGTGCAAATTTCTCTTTTGTTAGAGAGGTGGGATCTCTTTGTTTGTGAGTGTTATAATCCATTGTTTTTATTTTGTTTGTTGTGTGGATTACACCAGCTTTAGCCTGCTATTCTGTGTGGCTTCTTTTTTAACATGCCTTCATTGTGCTTTGACTACTTTTCAACAGAAATGAATAACAATAAGTTTCATGAAAAGCTTTTCTTTCTCTCCCTTGACTATCTATGTGCTATTGCTATTTCCTCTTCAATCTGTTATTATGATGAAGTCACATTAAAGCAAACAAACACCCCTGATTTGGGGCGGGGGGCTAGACACATTGCTAACTGTTGTATACTTTTACTTCCCTTTATGAATTCTGAAGTTAAACAATTGTTTTCTAGTTTTATTTTCTTAAATATGACTTAATTTTTCTCCCTAAACTGGTTAATGCAGTTTTATACTTTAAAGTACATTTCATAATGAAATGCAGTGATTCATTCCATTGGGCTGAAACACAGTTGCACTCAACTATGGCTGAGTGTTTGGAAAGCTGAAACTCAATAAGTATTGAAATGACAAGATTTTGTTTATTCTCTTTTTGGAAAATTGATACATGCTTTTAGTAACTAAATATCCCCGGTCTTCCTCTGTTATCTCTTTACCTATTTCTAGATTCCCAAAGTTATATTAAGAAAGAATATATGGAATTATCTCCCCAGGGAACTTCTCCCACATCTTACATGGCAGAAATCCTGTAACAGAATGTGCCCTCTGAACTAATTTGCTGTGCACAGCTGGGCAGTAGTAACACTCACACTGGTTTTGCGAGCATCTCTGTCCAGTTTGGTAACTTTTCATGGTACAGAACCAAAACTCTGCACACATTACACATAGCTCCATAGTCTCCCATCTCTTTACTCTCTGGAAACCAGCATTCTCCTTTCTGCCTCCGATAATGACTATTCTGGATGTCATGCAAATGAAATAATGACAATATATGTCTTCCTGACTGGCTTGTTTGAATTAGCATTGTCTCAGGGTTTTATTGCTATGAAGGGACACCATGTCCACGGCAACTCTTATAAAGGAAAACATTTAATTGGGGCTGGCTTACAGTTCCAGAGGTTTAGTCCATTGTCGTCTTGTGGGAAGCATGGCAGCATCCAGGCAGACATGGTGCTAGAGAAGGAGTTGAGGGTTCTACATCTTGGTCTGTAGCCAGCAAAAGGAGACTTTGTGCCACACTCAGTGTAGGTTGAGCCTAGGAGATCTCTAAGCCCAATCCTAAAGTGACACACTTCCTCCTAATAATGCTCTTCCCTGTGGGCCAAGCATTCAAATTCATGAGTCTGTGGGGGCCAGACCTATTCAAACCACCATAAGCATAATGGTCTCAAGCTTATTCTGTGTTGTATCATGTGTTATGGTTTCTTTCCTTTCTTTAGATGACCAGCATCCTATGTGTGGGATGGGGAGAGGTAGCACATTGTATGACCGACCCACTGTGGACACTTGGGTTGCTTCTTGACTTTAGCTACAGCAAAATGCTTCTGTGAACATGGGCATCTCTGTGTTCTCTAGTTTCTGAGTAGAATCAATCAAGTGGCAAACCTGTTTTTATTTCTTGAGTAACAGTGATACTGTCTTCTACAGTGATGGTACCATTTTATAATCTCTGCAAAAAATAACATTTATTTTTTGTCTCTAAAAAAGTTATTGTAGCCAATCTTATGGAAACAGGATACATCATTTTAATTTTTCTTGTGTTTGTTTTAATTAAAAGATTGTATTTTATAGAGTAGATTTAGGTTTACAGCGTAATTGAGCAGAAGGTACCCTCTGCATGGCTCCTGTCACTGCTGTTGTCTTGTTCCAGCATTGCACTGTTATTGTAGCTGACAAACCTGTGTTGTTATGTCTTAAGCACCCAGTGGGCTGCGTCAGGGCCCACTCTTGGCACTATCTATTGTATACGATCTGATTGTTAGTGACATCACAGTCCTAGAAGACATCTAGCCCTGCCCCCCCCCATGTGCCTAGTAACTGCCATCTTTGTATTGTTTTGTCATGTGCACAATGCCACACATTTGGAGTTACATAGATTATAACCTTTTGCAGATAATTTTTTTCACTTACTGAATACAGTTAGGCCTACTTTTTTCTAGTGTGATAGCTTTTTCATAATTGAATAACATTTTGACTTTTTCTTTTTTTGACTATGTCATGGTTTATCCATTTACTTACTGAGTAACATTTTGGTTAATTCCAAGTTTTGTAGCTATGAATAAAGCTGCTGCAGCATTCGACTGCAGGCTCTTACATAGATTTAAATTTTAAATTCATTTGGACATATACCAAGGAAATGATTGCTGAATCATAGGGCAACAGTTTATCTACTGTTTAGAAAATTGCCAAACTATTTTCTGTAGTGGCCGCATTATTTTGCATTTCCACCGGAAGAGAGAGGAACAGAGGGAGGAAGGAAAGAGGGATGTGAGGAAAAAGGGGGGCCCTGCTGCTCTGCACCCTCCCCTGAGCCCTGTGTTAGCCATTCTGACTGTGTGCCCTATTTGTCTCATTGCAGTGTGCTTGAACGTACTTTCATGTTATTTATCTGTTTCTGATTTGGGGTTGTGTTTGTTCATGCTATGTTTAAGTTGGTTGTTCATTTTCTGAGTTTTAACAATTATTTGTATTTTAGATAACAATCCTTTAACAGATGGTGACTTTCTCTTCTCTCTAGAGATGGGTACTAGGAATTGAACTAAGAGCCTCATACGTGCCAGCCAAGTGCTGTTTCACCAAGCTACAGCCACAGGGCAGATGTGCCTTTTTACATATTTTCCCCTTAGTCTTTGGCTTGTCCTGATATTTTCACTGGCTTTCTCAGAGTTAGAATTGTTAATTATTTTTAAAAATTTATTTGTTTACCTATTTGAATACTATAACCAGTGTTGCATAATTTTCTCTTTATAGATCTGTATATGTTTTTTCTGTGTGCGTGTTCTTATATTACCCGTATGCCCAGTGTCTGCAGAGGTCAAAAGTGGGCATTGGATTCCTTAGAACCAGAGATCCAGAGGTTGTGGTCTGCCATGTGGGAGCTGGGAACCAAGCCTGGACCCTTAGCAAAAGCAGCAAGTGCTCTTACTCACAAAGCCATGTCTCCAATCCAATATATATTTTAATTTATTTTATGTTATGTGTGTGTGTGTATGAACTTGGGTCTGGAGATGTTGTATGCATTTTGTTGCATTTATACATAGTTCATCTTTTCAGATGCTATTTTAAATGGCTATGTGTTATTAATTTCAGACAGTTGTGATGGAACAGTTGCCTTTGGACAGTGACCCACATCTCATCTTGCTGCAGCTCTAACTCCTGTTTTGTTCGTTTGTTTGTTTGTTTTGTTTTGTTTTTGTTGTTGTTGCTTGGGCTATTCTTTACAGATTATCACCTGCAAAGATAATTAATTTCTTCTCTTTAGTCTTCACACCCTTCCTCACTGTATGATTTGTTTGTTTGTTTGTTTGTTTGTTTTGAGAAGCAGTGGTGTGAGGAAGCTCACCTTAACGTTGCTGTGGACCTTTGTAAATCTTCCTGTGGAGTTGAAGGGATTTCTCTTTTTTCCCCAGTTCGCTGTAGATTTCCTTCCTTTAAACTGTGAATGCATGTTGAACTTGGTTAGATAACTTCTCTTTCCTGTTTTATTCTTCAGATCGTGAATGTTATAGAAGAATTGGTTCTCAAATGCTGAATGCTACATGCCTGGGGTTAAGCCACTTCTTGTAGTGTGTAGCTCTTTTTACTCATTGTCCAGTTTGATTTGCTGATATCTTGTTGAATTAGGGTTTTTTGATCTGTTTATGGGAGATGCTGACAGTGGTTTTATTGTAATGTCATTGTCTGAATTAAAATAATCTTGTCCCCTCGAACAAGTTAGAGTTTCCACAGCTCCCATCCTCTAGAAAAGAGCATAACTTCATCCTAAGAACAGGATACTATGGCACATTTCAAAGCAGTACTATTTTCTCCTTCCACTGGAGCATAGAAAGATTTTCTACAGTCGTCTTTGCTCTGAGAGCAAAAAATAACTGCTTTGTAAGCTCCCCCTTCCCACTGTGCCCACTAGAGCTGCCTTTACTCCATTACAGTACAGGTCTCCTAGCCCCGTTCATGTGGCTTCCACCCTCCTGGTGTTGTCTCATCTCCAGTGACTGTGTGGAGTTTATTGCATGCTTGTGCCTGGGTGGGGTCACTGTCAACGGTCTGCTCTTACTCTTTGCCTGCCCCGCAGCATTCTCAGTAAGTTGGCTTCCTATCAAGCTTTAAAGCCCAAGACTGAGTCTGTACCTTCTTCTTTTCCACAGGGTTCATTCACAGTGTTCATTTTAACAATATTCAAATAATAAATGAGCTTCCTTTTCATTATTTGTGCTTTAATTTCTTTCAGTGGCATTTTATAGTTTTTTAATAAGTGTTGTGCCTCCACAATTAAGCTAACTACTGCGTATTTTTATTCTTTTTGATGCTATAATAAGCAGAAGAGTTTATTTTCAAGCGTTCTCTTTCAGATTGTTTCTTATTACTAAGTGGGTGTTTGGTTGGGTTTTCTGTGTTGATTTTGCATCCTGTTACCTTCCTCCATTATTAACAGTTATCCCATCTTTAAACTTTTCTTCGTTCGAAATTGTATCTGTGAGCAGAGTTTTTTTTTTAGCTCTTTCATTTCCAGCTTGCTTTTGATATCCTCTTTCCCATCTCTAAGTGACACAAGTTTGTGCTGTTCCTTGTTACCACTCCTTGAGGGAGAGACAAAGCCTGCCAGCCTCTATTATGTAAAGGCAGATTTGTCCTGTCCCTCGTTATTCATTGTAACTGGATTATGTTGAATTTTGGCAAATACTTTTCTGTATCAATTGAAATGATTGTACCTTTTCTTTTATTCTCAAGTTGTAGTGTATTACATTGGTTGTTTTTAAATATAAATATGTATTTTTGAAATGAAATTCCCATGCAAATGGGCATATATCAAAGAAAAATGAAACTTTTAGAGTAAAATGTGGGCTTTTAATTTTTAAGAGCTTTTTAAATTATAAAGATAAGTCCTGAAGACCTAAAAAAATATATATGATAAGTGTGACTAATAAAAAAAATTAAGCAGTAATCATAATGAACAAATAGAACAAAGATAAAAAATGAACTGGGGAAATACTTGTATGTTTGTTTCATAAGGAGCTTTGTTCTGTGATACCTTACAAGACCCTGAAGGAAAACCGCTTAGCTAACAGAAAAAAAGCACAGAGTAGAAATAAGCAGTTCACACTCATACGACATAACCGTGGAAAGGAATGCCTCATAGACCATTACAATGGGGAAGGGGAAACAGTGGTAGAGCATTTCCCTGGGGATAATGGGAAGTTTTAAAGAAGCAATGTGCATTGTGGGTCAGTGTGTGTGTCAACAGAAATGCTTATTCCATTTGGGGGAGAGTAAACTGGTACAATCTGTTTATACAACAATTTGTCAGTATTTTGTCTTTTGTTTTTGGAATGGCTGTATCTGCCATGGGTTCTTCTTGAGCTGGTTTATCTATAGGAATGCATTGATGGGTGTTGGGCAGTACTCAGGACAGTTTAGATAAGCTGCAGCTCCTCTGTTGAGTAGAATATGCTCTTCAGTTCTTAAACATCGAATTAGATTGATGTGGGCTGATATGGGAAATTTCCCTAAGCATGTTCATAGTCAAAGCAAGAAAGGATAGCGTATGGGTGGGTGCCAACTTGTGACTTATGAAGTATTTACTGTAATCTCCTAATGTTGGTGTCTGGGAGGGTACACAGAAAATGCTGGTGATGGCTGTCTAGAAATATGGGGTATGGGATGTAGAATGTGCTGGTACCCCTTTTTAAATGCTTTAAATTCCACAATTTGAAAGTGAAATTCCATGTTCTTCCTTTGGGACTATGAGCACTAATTGCATTTCTTTTGGACTTTTACAGATTTCCCTTGTGCTTTGTTTTGTGTTGATGTTTGGAAACTCAATGTTGCTAACATCTTACTATGCATCCTCTTTGGTAATTATTTGGGTAAGTGTTCCTTTGGCTACCTTTTTAAACTTTTCTTTATTTTTGATAATTTAAACGTATAGACAATAAAGTATGACCATAGGTATTCCCCAATACCCTTAGCACACTGTCTCAGCTTCATGTCTTTTTTTTTTTTTTTCCTTGATAATTCACCATGTTCAATTAATTGGTCTTTGGCTGCTTTAGAAACAAATACTTTCAATTTCTTTATCACTGGCTTGGGATTCATGAGTAGCTTCTCCAGGGTCGTATCAAGTGTCTGTCAACTTTATCTTTACCTGACAGAGCAACGACATTCTCACTTGGAAAGCAGAGAAAGTCAGACTCAATGGAGTCACTGAGGGCTCAGAGCCTGTCTTGCAGCCTCAGTTCGTCAGGTTTTTTTTTTTCCCTTCAGCTTTCCTCTCACCTGCTCTGTTCTTGGGTTCATTGTGGGAGGTTTCTGTGCTTTTTAATTTTTCTTTTCATCTTTTCAGTTTCAGCCTAAATATAGAAGTCATCTTAAATTTAGACTTTTGTGAACTTTTAGAAAATTGCTGTGATTCAGACTTTAGCATTGCAATGTTTTGCAACCCAAAGTTCTTTCTTCCATCTGCGGCACCTGGGCTGCAGCTCTGCTGGTTTCTTGAAGACACACACGTGTGCACACTGCAGTTCCTCCATTAGAGTGCTTTCTGCCTTTTGAGTAATTGTCATTTGATTCATATGATTTCTAGAATCCATTAATAAAATTGGAGAGTCTTGTGCCTCCTCGAAAGTAACTACTTTAAAATACATTACCAAGAAATACGCTTTTTCCAACCTGAGGCGCTTCAACCTGAGGCGCTTCCTCTTGTCTGTAGCTGAAGTATGTTTATCCACAGCCATGGGCACGTGGTGATGCTATTTTCAACCCTAAACTCAAAGTTGCTATCTCTGTACTTTGGGATTAGAATTGGTAAATTCTTTAATTTTTTTTTTTTTTTTTTTTACCAAGTTTGAAGTATGTTTTTCTGTCTAGCGGTAATATGGTTTAGTATTCATGTACCTAATTAACACAGAAATATTTTTTAGATAGTAAAATCTCATGTATGTTCATCACATAAGTAAGGAATTTTTAGCTTAAAGGCTACCTTTTACATGAGCTATTTATATTTCTGAAATTGTTGAATACCTCTTCATGGGTAAACCAAATATATATATAATAGAGAATTAGATCATTTGTATATAGTGATTTTCGTTTCAATTTTACAAACTCACTGACGATAGATTGTGTGTGTGTGTTATTTTTTTTAATGCAATACTTTGAAATCACTAACTGTGTATGTGGACTTGGTGCTCTGAAAAATCCATAAAGCAAAGCAAAGGACATGAATGTGGGAAAGAAATTTGTAAGGAGAAGCGATGGGGACTGAGGGAGATGGAATGGGAGAGTAATTTGGATGTATTTTGTACATGTGTGAAAAGGTCAAATAGCAAATTTAATTAAAAAGGAAATCAGTTGTGTGCTGAATTTTATATTCTTCAAAGTCTTCTTTATTCAGAATAATTATTGCTTGCACTTCTGATACTCATTGTGTTCCTATTTAGGGTATACTGGCAGTGAAACCACAGTTCTTGAAGATGAATGTTTCTGAACTTAGTTTATGGGTAAGAATAAGCCTATACATTCTTTTCTTCTCCAGAATATAACATTGGTTTATGCTTTCCTTTAAAGGAATTATACACGTAATGCAAGGCCCTAATAGCTCTGAAAACATGCAAGGATATATCTGATTGTCCTTTTCATTTAAGTAGGTAAAGAGCTGTCTGGGTTTAGTAGACCATTGAAGTTTTATTTAATACCCCGTGTTTCTTATGAGAAGCAAATGTGTAACAAACCTCACTGTAGGAGTCAAGCTGCTGTGATAAGACATAAATAAAATGTTTCTGGAAAGGTCATATGTTTTCAGTTTTAATTTTAGTTGCAATAATCCTTAGTTTCAGGCATTTTTCCTTGGAGATTACAATATTGTTTACATGGGAATAAAGCATTTGTTCTGTTCGCTTCACCAGGCTGCAGACGGTATAAGCAAAGTCAGTTTTATTTATTTTTTTTTTTAGGCTATTCAAGGATGCTGTTGGCTATTTGGAACTGTTGCGCTCAAGTGTTTGACTTCCAGAACCTTTGGCATTGCTGATGATGTAAGTGTAGTACTGCTTATGATTGAAAGAGTTGGAAAGGGTTTCAGAGGCAGAGAGTGAATTCATGGAACTGTTAGAGGATCATTACTTAAGCCAGGTTCCAAGGTGATGTGTATATTATTTTCTCTCTTTAATACAAAAAAAAAATCACAAAAGTGTGATTATGTACATAGTTTTTAATCTCCAGAATAAACACAGTCCCCCTTTTAGTATATTTCTATATAAGAAAGATGTAGAAAATGTAAAGCTAAAACTCTAGAGATTAAGGCCTAACTTAAGGTCTGTATAGCCATTTCTGACTTCTTTACAGTCACCCTTTAAAACCGATGGGACAGTGTCTCCAGAGTCGTGGGCAGAGATCTGCTGTCCTCATCTTCTATGTGATCAGTATGTGTGGAATGGTTCACAGTGAGAACCATATTAGACTTATAGATTTTTGTTTTGTTTGGCTAGGGCAGAGAATGAAATGGTAACATTTCTATTTTATTAAAGATTCTTATGAATAGTTGCTTTATTTATCTACTTATTATTCGTGTGTGTGTGTGTGTGTGTGTGTGTGTGTGTGTGTGTGTGTGTGTGTAGAAAATATGCATGTGATCATGGTGCTTGCATGGGTGCCTGTGGGTTAGCAGAGTTGGACATGAGGTATTCTCTTCTATCACTCTCTACCTCACTATCTTGCTGCAAGACACTGAACCTGAAGCCAGACTGGTGGCCAGCAACCCCAATGATCCTCTTGTTCCACTCTTGACAATGCTGGGCTTTTAAGCACGCCATTTTGTGCTTTGGCAATGAGTGCTAATATGCCCTCCCTCCCCAGCCATTCCCTAGGCTCACTCTGCTTACTTTGAGGTTGTGCTCAGCACATTCCAATTAGGGACCTTTCAGCAGTTATATAATACAAAAGGTAATGAAGGCTACAACATGCAAGATTAGTAAGTTCGGGATGCTGCAGAAGCACACCGGAAGAGAATCAGGCATGGACCAGAAGTCATCTGTAGCGATGAGAGGGCAGGGGTCATGGAATCAGCTTGGATGCAGAACGTGGGAAGGAATGGGGTAAAATGACTCCAGTCCCAAGTGTGTGAACTTTATTTCTTTTCTGCTGGGGGACAAACTGATAGAGACAGAAATTCAGACTGAAGGTAGTGGTAACATTTTTCTTTGTTTTTAAAAAAATTACTTATTTATTCACTTTCCATCTCAATCATAGCCTCCATTCCTCTTCTCTTCCTGGACCCATCCTCTCTCCTTTTTTCCCCTAGCCCTCTTCCCCTCTCCCTCAGAGAAGGGCAGCCTTCCTCAAACCATCCCAGTTGATCAAGTCACATTAGGACTGAGTGCATTCTCTTCCTTAGTGGTCTGGTAAGGCAGCTCCACCAGGGGGTAAGTGATCAAAAAGCATGCAACAGAATCCTTGGCAGAGATATCCCCTGCTCCCCTTATTAGGAGACCCATATGAACACCAAGCTGCCCAACAGGTACATATTTTTAGGGGGCCTAGGTTCAGTTCATACATGCTCCTCGACTAGTGTTTTAGTCTCTACAAGCACCCCCGACCTCAGGTTAGTTGGTTCTGTTGGTCTTCTTGTGGAGTTCCTGTCCCCTCCAGGTTCTCCTATCCTTAGCCCCACCTTTTCACCAGGCTCCCTGTGATCCACCCAATGTTTGGCTGTGAGTTTCAGCATCTGTTTGAACCCATTGCTGGGTGGAGCCTATTAGCGGACAAATCTGCTAGGCTCCTGTCTGCAAGCATAGCAGAATGTCATTAATAGTGTCAGGTTCGGTTCTCTTTCTTAGTATGGATCTCAGGTTGGGCCAGGCATTGGTTGGATATTCCCTCAATTTCTGTGCTATCTTTATCCCTGAATATCTTGTAGGCAGGGTAAATTTTGAGTCGAAGTTTTCGTGGATGAGTTGGTGTTCCCCTCTCACCACTAGGAGTCCTGTCTAGTTAGAGGGAGGCCTCATCAGTCTCCATGATCTCTGCTACTAGGGGTGTCAGCTAAAGTCACTCCCATACCCTTACCCTGTCATAGGTCTCCAGCTTCTGTCAGAAATTCTGCCACTCATAGTCTGTCTTCTCTCTGCAAGCCCTCTGTCCTCCTGCTCCTACTCTTCCCACCCCTAACCCCATCCTCATTTCCCTCTCTGCTACCCTGTTCCTTCTCTTCAGCCACTTCCATTGTCTATTCTATTTTTCCTTCTGAGTGAGATTCAAACACTCTCTTGGGCCCTCCTTGTTACTTTGCTTTTTTGGGTCTGTGAATTATTGTATGATTATTCTATACTATATGAGTAATACCCACTTATAAGTAAGCACATACCATGTGTGTCTTTCTGGGTCTGGGTTATGTTACTTAGGATGATATTTTCTAGTTCCATCCATTTGCCTGCAAATTTCATGATGTCATTGTTTTTAATACCTGAGTAGTATTCCATTGTGTAAATGTACCACAACTTTTTTTGTCCATTCTTTGGTTGAGGGTCATCTGGGTTGTTTCCAGATTCTGGCTATTATAAATAAAGCTGCTGTGAACATAGTTGAACACATGTTTTTTGTTATATGGTGGAACATCTTTGAGGATATGCCCAGAGGTGGTATAGCTGGGTCTTAAGTAGACCTATTCCTAATTTTCTGAGAAAGCGCTAAATTGATTTCCATTGGTGTTGCTTACCTCTCTGGTTCCTGATCTCCTCTCTAAGTTCTCCATCTCCAGGGTTTTCTCAGCTTGTGTTTTCTTTATTGATTCTAATTCTGTTTTCATGTCTTGAATGATTTTATTCATTTCCTTCACCCATTTGATTGTGGATTCCTGATTATCCATGATGGCCTTAATTTGTTCATTTCCTCTTTATGTGCCTCTAATTACTGCATAATCATAGATTTAAGATCATTTTCCTGTGTTTCGGTTGCATTAGAGTATCCATTGATTTTGGGAGATTCTGGTGAAGACATGATGTCCTGGTTTTTGTTGATTATATTCTTTTGCTGACCTCTAGCCATCTTGTTGCCCATGGTCTTGACTGTTTGTTCCTGGAGCCTTTACTGCAGATTGGGTCCACCTGTCTCTGGAGTCTGGAGTAGTCTACAGGAAGATGACAGATGTCCAGAAGCTCAAGAATAGGTGCTGGCTATTCAGATACAGCTAAAGAAGGGAGGGCGCTTGTTCAGTTGTCTTGAGAGGGCATGGCTTGGGTGCTGAGCCAAGTGCCTTGAAGGGCTGGGTGATACTCTGGCATGTGCACAGGAGTGTGCGTTGATGGTCAGGGCACATGCTCAGGGCAGGGTGCAGGCACAGGTTGGGGTGTGGGTGCAGGCCCATGGGGGCCTGGTTCTGATTGGCCCCTAATGACCCAGGAAACCTGAAGCTGCTCTCAGGGGAGCAAGAGGGATCCGATGTCTGGCTGCTAGAGTGGAGGGTCCCTGGACCTGGGGTTACACACATGCTAGGGTATGCAAAAAATGCAGGGGGTTCACAGTTTGAGATAACCAGTCCCAGGAGACAGCCATGGGGCCTGTATCCTATTGGCCCCAACTCACAAAATGTCCCCTCTAGTTCTGGGAAGCCCCAAGTTTGGTGCTCTGGATTCAGCCACCTGTCCACCCACCAGATTTGGAAGGTCAGATCCTCTGCCCCTGCAATAGGGTGCATACTGGTCCTCGCCATCTTGGAACCCCACCAGATTGATTTCCAAAGTGGTTGTGCAAGTATGTACTCCTAGCAGCAAAGGGGAGTGTTCCCTTTTCTCTACATCCTTACCAGCATGTGCTGTCACTTGAGTTTTTGAACTTAGCCTTTCTGACAGGTGTAAGATGGAATCTCAGAATCTTAAGTTCTTTATGTTTTAGTGATTAGCCCTTTGTCAGCTATAGGGTAAGTGAAGATCTTTTCTTAATCTGTAGGCTACTGTTTTGTTCTGATGACAGTATCCTTTGCTTTACAGAAGCTTGTCAGTTTCATGAGGTCCCATTTATTGATTGTTGATCTTAGAGCCTGGGCTGTTGGTGTTCTGTTCAGTAAGTTTTCTCCTGTGTCAGTGAGTTCTAGGCTCATTCCCACTTTCCCTTCTAATAGGTTCAGTGTATCTGGTTTTATGATGAGGTTTTTGATCTACTTGGACATGAGTTTTGTGCAGTGTGATAAATATGGATCTATTTTTATTTTTCTACATGTAGACATCCAGTTAGACCTTTTCCATTGTATGGTTTTGGCTTCTTTGTCAAAAATCAGGAGTCTGTAGATGTGTGGGTTTATTTCTGAGTCTTTGATTTTATTCCATTGATCCACCATTCTGTTTCTCTGCCAGTACCATGCCATTTTTATTACTATTGCTCCATAGCACAGCTTAAAATCAGGATGGAGATACCTCCTGAAATTCTTTTATTGTAGAGGATTGTTCTAGCTATTATGAGTTTTAATTTTTTCATATGAATTTGAGAATTGTTCTTTCAAGGTCTATAAAGAATTGGTTGGTATTTTTATGGGAATTGCATTGAATTTATAGATTGCTTGGTAAAATAGCCATTTTTAATGTATTAATCCTACTGATCCATGGGCATGGGACACCTTTCCATCTTCTGATATCTTCACTTTTTGTTTGTTTGTTTGTTTTTTGTTTGGAGATTTGACGTTCTTCTCATTAGGCCTTTTATTTGCTAGATTAGAGTTACATCAAGACACTCTGTATTATTTACAGATCTATCTCTCTCGTTCATGGCCTTCAGGGTTGGAAAATGTCCCCATCCCTTAGATGGTTGTCTTACCGGTAGGTTCTTACTGGAGCATTTACAACTGCTCTGCCCATGTTCTGTTCATGTCACTGGGATTTCAGCCATAGGCTCCAGCAGGAAGGTTTTCATCTTTCATTTCCTGCTGGTGCCAATGATAGCACAGGTGTTTATAATTTGTTTCAAATCAAACTTGGAAACTGGGCCAACTGCCTTCATAGACACCATGCCAGTGTCCCAGCAAGCAAGAAATTACGTGGTAGTGTTGGTGGACGGAGCAGCCTAGGCAGGAGTGCCATAGACTCCCATTTCTTCAGCCAAAGTTGTTTTTTTTTTTTTTTAATCAGCAAATACAACTTGTTAGCTGTTAGGGAGGAAGACTGTGACATGGTGTTTGTGACACCTTTGTCCAGTTTTCTAGTTGCCTTGTGGGAGGGAATGTTTGACTCCCTTTTCTATATCTAAAAGTCCCTACGTTCACTAGTATTCTAACACTGATCCAGTGTTGTACTTCTGAAGCAAACCTCATTTGCTCATTGTGTTAGTCTTTCTTGATACTGCAGGATTTGGCTGGCCAGCATTTGTCTTTAATCATGAAAGGCAATAGTCACAGTGTATCTGTAATGGTTTTGTCTGATCATGGTTTCAGGATAGTGCTAGCTTCCCACATTTGTGAAGAAGGGTTCAGTCTCCTATTTTCAGAAAGCGTTTGAGTAGCATTCCCTCTCAAAGGTAGGCAGAGAGGAACAGTGAAGCCTTCAACACTCAGAATTTTCCGTGTGACTAGGTTTTCAATACAAAGAACTTAGTTAACTGGCTGGAAGTATGGCAGGTGCCCTCAGGATCACTTTGCCCATTCTGTGTGTGCCACCAAGCTCAGTGTGAAGCTTTCATAAGTGGTATTGTTGGAGCCAGCCAGTGAAATTGCATGTGCAAGTTTTATATAGGCATATATATGGGAAATGGTTCTTTATTATTAAAACAATTAAGTTTTCAACTTCTCTAACTTGACAGGTAATACTGTGTGTGTTTACTATGTACAGCATCATGTTTGGAAGTTTTGGTACATTGTGGAATGGTAAAAAGCAGCCTTTCCCTGGGTTCCTTTGTTGTTGTTTTGTGGCAAAGCTCTTCACATCCTTTCTCTGCAGTTCGCAGTAAGGAAGGGGTCACTCGTGAGAGTCAGCTGCTGTAGGTCTGCTGACCTCTTCCCACCTTACTGTAGTTATGTATCTGCTGGCCACCTCTCACTCACTTCCCCCACTCCTAAGCCGTTTTTAAGCATTAAAATATATGTATTAATTTATGTATAGTTCATTTGCAAGATCAAGCATGTAGGGAATTCTTTTGCTTTTACCACTCTTACTTTCCAGTAAATTTGTCTTAATCTTTCCTGTAAGTAGTGCTTTTTGTATATAAATTGGCTTTCTGTAACTTTTTATATGATCTAAAGGTTATTAAATTTTGGTTTATTTAGCTTCAAGTCAAAAGGACACCTAAAGACATTCCTAGTTATTTTCTAGTTTTGCTGCATTTCTGATTAAAAAAAATATGAAATTTTAAAATACTGTTATGACATACTGTATTTATATGTATGTGTATATATATATATATATATATATATATATACACACACATACATATATAAACACAAGTTATTTTTACTGTGCTTCATAATGTGTATGCTCTTCCTATGAAGTATATAGTCTTTATTTATGGACATATTAATTATATTATGTTGATTATTATTAAATTTTATCGTCTTTTGCTCCTGGAATAAAACTTAACATTTCCAGTGAATACTGTCACCTTACCTATTTTTTCTACAATTGTCAATTTCATAGACACACATCTGAATCTCTACAGTAGTCCACACACAGGCATGTGTCATTTTTCTTTGCTTTTCACTTACCAACACATAGTATTGTTTGTTTGTTTGTTTGTTTTTTTACAAAGTTTTTTCTGGATCTCCATGTATTTTTTGATCTTGAATTTTGTATTTAGTGAGTGAGTGAGTATGTGTGTGTGTGAGAGAGAGAGAGAGAAGGGGGTATGGGGGAGTAGAGTTCTCTCTTTCCGCTGTGTTTCTGGGACTACACTCTTCATTGGTTTGCATGGCAAGTGCCTTTCCCTGAATATCACTGACATTTACTTAGTTCTAGGAAATGCTGCAGATGCTACCCTAGGTTTTTGTTTCAGACTTACGTTATTTATTTTCATTTTGCTTTTGCGTGTTTATCTTTTGTAGACAACATAGCATTGTATTTGTTCTCTGGGGGAGTTTAAACAACAGTCTGTTAATTGGATAATTTAAGCTCTTTCTGTATATGGCAGTTGCCTTTTGCTAGAAAATTTTTCTTCATTTTATTTGGGATTTGTTTCCTGGTGCTGTTTCAGGGGCCACAAAACTTCCCTTCTAGCTCCATAAATTTACCAGCCTGCCTTCCTTTTTCTGACAGCTTTTGCTTCATCACGTTCCCATCATCCCTTTGCTCTACTCTCACCAGCTCCTGTGCTGTGGTGGCCTTAGGCATAATTGCCTCTCTTTTTTAGTTTTTACTGTTTTAGATAAAAATTAAGTGAGGCAATCCAGAAACAGAGAGAGAGGCATAGTATACACGTACTTATAAGTGGATATTAGCTGTATAATATAGGACAGCCATACTAAAATCTACAGACCTAAAGAAGCTAAACACTAAGGACTGTTATATTTGCACATTAATATTTACAATTGATATATCTTTTAGTAATGCTGTGGTTAATCCTAAACAGCTATATAACGAAATCACCACACAGAGACTCGGATTTATTTAATTAACCTAGATCACTATGCTGGTCAATAGTTACTCCATCCTAAACCTCCAAGCCCGCATAGTTTCCTAATATTCAGATTTTACCCATTATACTTGCTGTTAGTCATGTCTTAGGTCCAGTCAATCTTTCCACGCCATTCCAAGACCTTTCCTCCAGCCTTTACTCTCCCATCTTCTGCTCCTCCTCCCCTCCTCTGCCTCCCACTCCTCCTGTCCTCTGGTTCCTCCCCTCTTTCTCCTACTCCTTCCTCTCCATTGCTCAACCTTGTGGCTGGTTATTTTATTTTGGCATGTTTACACAAAGTTGAGACAGGTCATGCTTAGAAAAAACATCACAATGCAATGTCCTGACTGAAAGGAGATAGTGGGGGAGAGAAATCAGCATTTGAATGAACAAGGGTAAAGTGTATACATTCCAAAAGAACATTATACTAACAGAGGATCCTAGGGAGCATGCTTAAATCTCATTCAGAATGGCAAACAGGATAGACACCAGAAGGAGTGGAAGAGAGGAAACAGGATTGGAGCCTACGATAGAGGGTCCTCTATCGTAAAGCAGATGCTGAGACTCACAGCCAAACTTTGGGCATAGCACAGGGAGTCTTTTGGAAGAAGGGGTTGGACAAGAATAGAAGGACATAGATGGGACAGGAGGCCCCACAAGGATACCAACAAAGTTAAAAATCTGAGCCAGGGGGTCCTGTAGAGACTGATGCACCAATCAAGGACTGTGCATGGAGAGGACCTAGACCCTCTGTTCAGATGTAGCCGACTGGCATCTCAGTCTCCATGTGGGTTCCCGCATAAAGGGAGCAGGGACTGCCTCTGTCATGAACTTGATTGCATGCTCTTTGATCAATTGCCCCTGGTAATAGGGTCACAGAGGAAAAGGATCCAGGCAGTCCTGCTGAGACTTGATAAGCTATGGGCAGATGGCAAAGGAGAACTCCCCCTTTCTGTAGACTAGAGGAAAGGGATAAGGGGGAAGAAAGAGGGAGGGTGGGGTTGGGAGGAGTTGAGGGAGAGGTCTTCAGTAGGGATATATAATGAATAAATTATAAAAAAATTAAAATAAAATAACTTGAAAGTTTGGTGACTGTCTTACATCTGTGAGCCTTTTCACATATATGAAGTGAACATGGCTGTGTCTTATCTTTTGGAGGGAGGTGCATGTGACTGCATGCATGTCTATGTTGGTTGTCAGTCAGAAGGTACCTTTTATCCCAGTCCCTTCCATGTCTACTACCTTCAAACAGTCCAGCATTTAGACTCAGCCTTTCATTTGTGCTCCTATGTGGTGGACAGATGTTAGTATGAGTTCCTTGTAGACAGCAAGGTGGGTGCTGGGAAGCCTGTTTTACCAGGAATAGTACCATGAGCAGAAAACATCCAGGGTAAAAGCCTTGGGCATTGATGAGTGGGCAGTGGTAGACATTGGGAAAGAGCTTTGGGAGCTGTCACTTGCTGCTGGCAGAAGAGGAGGCACAGCTGTGAGGTTGGAGGAACAGAACTTTCTTTAATAAAACCCAGATTTGGAACAATGGACTTTATCATACAGTGAAAACTATTTTTAGATATTGTCAAGATAAAAATGCATAACTATAACGTTTGGCTTAGTATAATGATTCCTGACTTTTTTTTTTCTTTGCAGGCTCATATTGGCAACTTATTAACATCAAAATTCTTCAGTTACAAGGATTTTGATACTTTACTATACACTTGTGCAGCAGAGTTTGACTTTATGGAAAAGGAGGTAGGATGTAATTTCCAGGGTTCTTTCCTTGGTTTTGGCCCTTTCATGTCTCATAAAGGGGGCCCTGCTGCTGCAGAGTCCGAAACGCACTGTTCCCTCGGGAGAAGAATGTCTGGCGGCTTAATGAAAGCTCTTCCCATTTGTATATTTATTTGTGACTTTTTCTGTGTTGGTAATTTGGAAATAATGCACTCAGATTACCTACCCACAGTGCTTGGATAGGTGAATGCAGGCATTTCCAGTTGCCTCTTTTCAGAGACAGCATTGCTGTTTAGTCAAGCTCTCAGGCTGTTTTCCTTCTACTTATTATGTGGATATTTGAATGATCTCACTGCATTTAAATATCATGAGCACAGGTTTTTCATACTAACATTTCTCTTTTGAAAACTTGATTCAGATATTTGGTGTTTACAGGAAAACTAGAGAGGGGGTAGTGGATTGTGGGACAGAACCCTGCAGTGTGAGTTAATGGTCTAGAACAGATGCATCTTATTCTCTGTGTTATAGTCTCCTAGTTCTTGGTAGTATACTGCAAACAGATATTCCTAAGACAAACTGAGTTTCACACTGTAAAGTACTTTGGTCTCTTGGGTAAAATAGTTTGTTTAAACAAGCATGTTTTTATTATCCTTGGAAGCACCATCCATATTATATTCCTTTATTTCTGTTTATAGCTGATACATTTTCATTTAAGGCTGTATGCATAGGAATGTACACACCTGGCCATTACTTTATCATTGTTTCCATTGCCCCTTCAATACCACTGTAATAATTCTTTGTCCTGAGTGCCAGACCAGTAGTGTGGACTCATCTGTTCTTAGTCAAGTATACCTTGATAACTCCAGTTGCATGTTTGTCTAAATTTATCCTGTTTGTGATATTGATACATAATAGCTGATAAAAGCTGTACAAATGGTAATAGGAAAAATCAAAGAAAGCGTACCTTGTAAGATCTTAAAATACCAGTTTATAGGAAATCAGGACTTCCTTAAGAAGGTGGTAAAGAAAATAGAAGGTAAACATGAGCAGAGAACTGAAATGCTGTAGGAGGGGCTGGCGAGACTAGAACGTTATGCTACCAAGAGCGGTCATTGGCCCAGTCTAATGAAAGAAGTTGGTGTATTGAGGCATGGCATGACTTCATTCCGTGTAAACAGAGTATCAGGCTGTGTGCAGTATGCCATGCCTGTCTTTATGTGCATCTGAATTCAGGGTCTGTGCTGCGGGAGATGAGTGTCTGTCTGTCGAGGAAGTGCATGCCTTTTATAGTCTCATTTAATAGAGAAAAAGACAAACATTGAACACTGTTCACTAACACAGTTCCAAACTGACCTGGAAAGATGCCTAAAATATATAATGGAGTAAACAAAGGAGATGTTACTTACCTATTGTTAACAAAGGTCTAAGAGCAACATCCCGACAGTGGCTAGAGTGGGGAGATAACTGAGAGAGACACAGGTCTGTGTTATTAAATACATTTCTATAAAATTATCTATAAATGTTGATAAAATGTTAAAATTAGTTTTGTTATCCTCATAAGCACTGGTCATTATTCGGCATGTATTTGTGTGTAAGAGAAAGAAATACGATGTGTAAGAATGTACAAGGTAGCTTATTCCATGTAAATAAATACTGCTTTCTTGGGTGGAATAGTAAGAGAGACCCTCACAGCCACAAATAGTGTATGAAAAGGAGAATCTCCAGTCACCTTTCACAGGAATTTTGGGCACTGTATTTTTAGTGTTTTCAGCATAGCACTGGTGAAATGTGTTTCTATGGAAACGTGCCTTTATTTCAATGATGGAGTCAGTGCATAGGTTGGACTCTTGGTTGATGAATGTTTGGATGAATATTCTCTACTTATGCCTTAAGAAATTCACTTGTTTCCTCATTTGAAAAGAAGTTTTGTTTGGCTAAAAATATTTTCCTCTAATGAATACCCTCAATTTTAGACTCCGGTGAGATACACGAAGACACTGCTCCTTCCTGTTGTGCTCATCATTTTCACTGCAATTGTTAGAAAGGTGCGTTTGTCGCTGAAGAGCCTTTTATAATTAAATGCATTTTTTAATAGTAGTTGCAGATACTTGGCTATACAATAATCTGATAGTTTTGTCCTGATTTGTTGAAACATTCTGTATTTTCTTAGTGGTGGCCTTTGATGAATACTTAGAAATGTTAAATCAGCCTTCTATGAAGAAAAGCAGGTGTGAAACTCTTTTTAGAGGAGCTTGTAAAGTCTATAACTGTGTGAGACTTAAAGATGAGATTAACGTGCAGTCTAAGAAGACATGACAAAGCCCAGCAATCCGTTGATTTCTAGGGATCTGTGTTAACATATCATATTTATCTGAGGGGCATTCTATACTGTAATTACTGTTCACATTGTGTTTGCACTGTGCTTTGTACTTCTCCAGACTATTTCTCATGACATATTTCGATGTGTTACTCAGCCAGTGATGCATGGGCTGGACGGATACTGCCTTGGAAGCTCAGAATTTGTTCGTAGCTCCCTTTGTTTCCAAGGCCATACTGACTCGGGCTTGGCACCCTCCCCTGTCCTAGACACCTGGTGGTGCTCTGTTCAGCGCACACTCAGCTTCAGCTCCTGACAGTTTATGCAGTTTCACTGTGTGCAGGGCTCTATGCCTGCTTTGCATTTTGCACTGTGATTCATATGTCATAATCCTCAAAAATGACCAGATACTGAACACCAGGAACCTATTCAAAGACTAGAAAGGCACATGCCTTTAATCTTCATACCTGGAAGGCAAAGGCAGGGGGATGTCTGTGAGTTTGGGGATATCCTAGCCTATATACTGAGTTCTAGGCCAGCTAGTGCTGCACAGTGGGGTGACACTATGCTCAATAAAACAAAACGAAAGACTGCAGCTTTGATGGCAAGGTGTGGTGGAATATAATAGCTCAGATGAATGACGCTCTGCTGTTTAGTTTAAAAAAGAAAAGATTCAAATAGAAGGTGGATAATTATTTTCAAATATTTAAAAGCCTACCATTTGGGAAATATGACTACATTCCTTCTGGTGCTTTAGAAATCCAGTCACTGGTACATCCTGGAGATAGAACTTTTGACCAGAAATGCATGCATCAGTCAGGAAAGTGTTAGAGCCTGAGGCAGCAGCCTAGTAGCTCTTCCAGGGGATAAGATAAGGTGTGTGCAAGATGCTGGAGAGATCTTCATGCTAGCAACAGGATTTTAAAAGCTTAGTGTCTCCGAGCCACTTGGGCAGTTCTGTGGGCATGATTAAGAGAGGCAGTTGCTACCACCTCCATGTGGGTAAGGAGCAGGAGTGAATGTTAGGACCAGCAGAGCTGCTTAATGGTTGTCCTCCTCAGGGAGTCATTTCATGCTCTGAGACTTTTACTCATGTCCTAAATGGGGTATTGGAATTTTCCTGACAGTCCTGACAGGATTGCTGAATATTAGACACAATCAAGGACTTTGCTAGTACAAGATAATGTTGAAATTATTAGTTTCTGAGTGGTCTCTTATCTCCTTTTTTCTCATATTTATATTAAGAGTTTTATCATTTTATAACATCTTTTCTAAAGTCTTCAACATCTATTTGCAGATTATTAGTGACATGTGGGGTGTCATAGCTAAACAACAGACACATATAAGGTAAATATGCTCTCATTTCCTTACTCCCATTTATTGAATATTACTGTAGTGCATACTTGTATACTTGAATGTTGTATACTCAGCACTTCATCAATGATGCTTTCAATTGTCACCCTCCCTGTGGAGGATACTAGACTCTGCATCCCTTCATCAGATCTCATCCAGAGAAGTCTGACCATGCCCCCTCACACCCTCTTCCTTAGAAGGACACAGCTTTTGCCAGAAAATCAATTATTCTCCTTGGGAGCCATTAGATTACCATATTTGAAAAATAAACAGATAAATATAAAACTGGATCCATTCTTCATTTTTTACTCAACTTCCCTAGGAAGCAGAATTAAGCCATAGGTAACCAAATGTACCTAGAAATTGACAGAGAGAATGTACTTGTAATTAAAGAAATAAAAGGCCTTTCTGAAGGATACAAAACTTATATGCTGGGAAAGTTGACAACATCAAACACAAGTACTTCAATTTGGTTTTTAAAAAATGCAAGAAGCATTATTGAAAGGAAAAGGATAGTTAGAGCAAATATTTGCGATATGTGACTCAGGACTGACGACAGCCAGAGAAAAGTAATACGGGTGTCTTCAGACACGCCAGGAAATGAATGAATGAAAGACACAGAAAAGGGAACTGAAAGAAAAGTGAATTGGTGCATTCCCTCTCCACCATGTCCAAGCCCCAAGGGCCTTCCTGTACAGTTGGATAATGGTAAGCTGTCCCTGTCTCTGGGGTTTGTACGAGTTGAACCCTTTGTCCGTAATTTGTTTCTTTCATTCCCTTTCAGCCTGACTCTTGGCATAGCCAGTAGAAAAGAGCAGTAGTTGAAAGGCCTACAGTCATGTGTTGAAGACAGTTTGAGTAAAACTAAGTAAAAACTTTCTACTTAAAAGATTAGTAAGACGAGGTAATATCCAGGGCTTGCACAGCTTGAAGAAATGGGAGACAGCTGGCTGTGGCTGGGAACCGCACAGTGGGCTTGCTCTTCAGGCCAGCATCCCCCACTGCAGATACATCCTGTGGAGGTGTTCATACAGATGGAGTTGGTGGTCAAAGGATACTGAGCATGGTATTGTGTGTAATGTAGAAAGTTAACATGGTCAAAATATGTATTAGTACAGAATAAAATTATTGTCCTGATATAAAGTGGAATGTTTTATCATCTTTATAAGAGTAGTTTGAGCATACATCTTTAGATTTTTTTTGAAAGCTGAATAATACCTATATATGGTAACTATACTTTTAAGTTTTATGTTTGCTTGCATTGTTTTTTGTAACTTGAATATCCCCCACCCTTACACTATTTCCTGATCATCAAAGCTCTGCTAACACAATGGGAAAAAACTTGTACAGTATATCATTTAGAAACAGCTTGCTATAACTGTGCCTTGCTTGTACCTATATGGATAGGCAGGAAAGGGGAAATGATTCTGGTATATGGTGCCACAATTTCTCTTTATTTGAGGTAGCACTTTGTTTTGTTTTGGAAAAGTTTGGAGAAGCAGCTTCAAAGTTAGAACCATAGTAGGCAACTCTGGAAAAGCAAAGTAAAACTTTTCATAGAAAAAAAAGAAGTGCCTTTTCAAGAATAGCTTAACTACAAAGGGAATTTTAGAAAACCAGAGTTTGATGGGATTTTCAGTTGAGTGGCATCAGATCTCTCTCCTGGAAAGGGAACAGCATGTTTACATTTCATTATGCGTAAGAACAAAAATAAAATAGCAGTGAGGAGAAAGAAGTACATCTTAATTTGCATGTGATCACCATTACCTGCTCTGTTCATGGACCTGGAGGTAAATGAGAGTAGTCATGGCCTCATGAAGAAGCACCGTCAGCTTTGAGAAGGTCCTAGATGTAAAGTTGGCTGACAGGAGTGCTGGGATTGGTATCCATGGGGATGACAAATGATTGCATCATGTTAAAACTGCAGGTGTTCAGGAAATGGAGGCTGATTTTTTTCTTGGAATGAATGAAGAAGGGACATCCCACCTTCTTCATACTTGGCTTGTGTATTTGCTAAAATCAACACATACACATTTTTAGAGCAGATGCTCAAACCAGATTATGTTCTACCTAGGCTTGGGGAGAAGGACCACTTATCAGATGTTCATCTGTGTCCAAGTCTTGGGAACAACTCTGAATCTCTTAATGCTCTCTTCGTCAGATAGCTTCCAGATCCATCTTTCCTGTATGACACATCCTTCTGACATCCTCAATGGCTTATCTCAGAAGTCATAAGCTTTTATTCTGCTTTTAGGTACACATCCTAATAGTATGCAGATCTTGCCATTGTCATATTTAGAATGAATTTCAGGCTTTGACTACCCTTACTCTAGCCTGCCCCTACTGCCTCCATGGATCACAACCTCATGATGCCTCCTGACTGCCTTCCTGCCTTTGCTTCAGACCTTATTACCCAGATGCAAGCATTTCCGGCAGAAGTCAGAACACACCATATCTCTGTCCTCTTCAGTCCTTCAAATCACTTGAAGTACATCACAGTCCTCATCCTGGTCTCCATGACCCGGTACCTTCTGATCCCTCACCTTCTCTGAACCACTCCTCTCTTAGTCTCTGCCTTCTCTCCTTTCCAAGCACACCGTCTTCATGGCTGCCAGCAGACCCTCCCTACATGGGACCTTTCGATTCTGTGTGCTCCTTGGCTCCCTCTCAGAGCCCACTCAAATACCTCAGTGGTGATGATGAGCCTCTCTGGGCACTCATGTTCCTGCACCTTACACCATCTCCTGTTCTCTTCAGCTCTGGTCACTGAGACAATTGCTTATTTACCTTTTTTTTTTCTCTTTGACTTATATATAGATTCTGAGAGGATACGTATGGTTTCCTATTTGTTCCTTCTCTGTCTCTTGCATGTTCATTATTCAGTGAACTTAATTAAATGGATACATAGATCTGTACCCTGGACTCTTGCAGGTTCCATTTTAGTGGGGAAGGGTAAGTGAAGGGATACTCAAAATACAAGTGTGAATCCTGTCTCCTCTAAGAAGGGTAGTGGGACAGGTGTGAGCATGGAGTGGACACTGGTGTGGGAGACAAAATTGTCTAGTGGCTTTAGGGGTCAGTTAGCCTGTGATCTGGTCATTGCAATCAGAAGGGAACAATGGAGGAGGTATCTGTCCAGAGTGAGGAGTGAGGAGTGGGACCATGGGAGGAGGAACAGTGAAGCTGATGGATTGAGAGCCCACATTAATTGCAGGGGGGATTCATTTTATACTCTGAAACAAGGGAAGGGATGGCTGGCTGGCCCTTTCTGTAACTGTTCTTCCTGCTTCTGTAGGAATTGGTGGTGGGCAGGGAAAGATGAGAGCAGGATTTGTCAGTTTCTAAGCACCTATGGGGGGGGAAGAGCATTGAAGCAAAGCTGGGGGAGGGAGGATGTTGTACCTATTTGAATGTAAACACCTGGTGCTGAGAAGACGGTGAGCAATGTCTGTGGCCTGTCTCTACTGCAGTGGTAGTACAGACAGCTCGGGGTTCACCAAGGGAGGAAGCAGGCACAACGGCTCTGAAGGCTCCCGAGTTCTTCCTATCATGCCTTAAGTGACTTGCTGTGCACACCACATTATTATTGCATTGTAATCACATACCTGGTCAGATGCTCATGAGTGCTTTAAACATGAACTATCTTAAAGGGTTGTAAACTAGTATTGGGATAAAATTTTTAGTTGTTTTGACTTACATATATATGTCTCGAAGGAATAGTAAACATATTACAAAAGCTCATATTTCTAGATAAAAGAACAAGTATATGATGTGAGTGCCTCAGTGACAAGTAATTTGTTTGTTTGTTTCAGAAAACACCAATTCGATCATGGAGAGGTAAATATTTAACATTACTAAGACTTTACTTAATATATAGAGACTTTGTTTTTTAGTCCTGGTGTCTAGGATTATTAGCACTTGTCATTAATTTATCTTCAAAATTCTTTACTATGTATTTTTTGTGGGAATATTCAAGCTGATTGGCTGACCATTGCTGAAGTGATAAACACTTTTGGTTAGTGAGTGAGTCCTTACAGTAATAGCGGTTAGTTTCTGGAGCCTAGTGAGGCAGGTAAGGGAGGCATCCTTGCGTGGTGGAATGCCACATTTTCTTCACCCACTCACCTTCAAGCTTCAGAGGTCTGAGTGGCTGCTGTTCCCACCCTCCAGAGACTATATGGCTTCACATAACACAGGGAGGATCACTGTGGTTTTGAGGCAGCAGGCTTCTTTCCCCTGACAACTTCTGTGCCTTGGTCTAATGGCAACAGATTAAGGCAGTTCTCAGTTCTCATCAAACTGCAAAGAATAAGTATCACTAGAGTGATCAGCCACAAACGGATATCTATATGATCTCTTCTGCTACCAAGCCAGGGTCCGTCTTGGAAGATGGGGAGAGAGAAGTGTAAGAGCCAAGGGTCAGGGTCCAGAGTGACTTCTGGACATGGGACTGCTACACTCATGAGCTCACAGCAGTTGTGGTTGCCTGCACAAGACCTGTGTATGATCAAGCCAGTCCACATTGTAGCCTGGATGAGGTGGGGCTTATGAGCTTCTGCCCGTAACTGAGGAGCTATTGACTGTTGATGGTTCTGAGGGAAGTCAGAATCATTTTTGTTTAAAGATATGTCCCCGATAGGTCCAAAGCATTTCAATGGATAATCTCAAACCCATGAGAATATAGGAGAGGGAGGGATGGAGTGAGGGAGAGAGGAAAGGAAAGGCTGGAGGGAGGATGTGTGTATGTATGAACAGCACAAATTGGAATCTGAGCTATTTTTTTTTAAGGAGGATACGAAGTTAAGGTGTAGAGTTTGGGGATGTGGATATCAGAGAAGTTAGGGGAAGATGTGGGGAATGCTTGTGTTCAAAAATGTCTTGTTTGAAATTCTCAAAGAATTAATAAAAATATTACATAGAATAATTTAAGAAATCCTTTCTGCATGTCCAGATTAACAGTATATTCTTAATTTCACAAATGGTGGAAATGAACACTTTTCCCACCCCACCCCCCTTTTAGTTGGTGTATCATGCTCTGCAGCTGTTAGCATACACAGCCCTTGGTGTTCTGATCATGAGACTGAAGCTCTTCCTGACACCACACATGTGTGTTATGGCATCTCTGATCTGCTCCAGACAGGTAACGTGGTGTGACAGTGAGTTCTAGCTCAGCCTTAGCTACCATGGGGTCCTAAAGTAGTGCGGGCCAACGGAGTTGGGTAGTTCTTCTCCTCTGAAGCTCTTCTCTTTGATTCTGTTGTATACAACTTCATAAAGCATAGTGATCCAGGCTGATCACTGTCTTCTTTTCTACCTTGTAAAATTATCCTGGCCAACAGCGAATGCCAAATCAATGCAGACAGGGTGTATCAGTAATCACTACAGCTGCTGATAAAAAGTACAATTCAGATGTAGAAAAAAAGTGTATTTATATCACATAATTGCATTATTATTATTACTATTGTTATTAGTATTATTGATTTCTAGTTTTGGAGTTTTTTTACTTTTTATTTTTTAATTTATTTATTTATTCATTCACTTTAATCCTGATTGTAGCCCCCGTCATCTCCTTTCAGTCTCCTCCTTTGCACATCCCTCCCCCAATTTTCCCGTTTCCTTCTTCCCAGAGAAGGGAGAGGTCCCCCATGGGTAGCAACCGCCTGGCACACTAAGTGGCTGTAAGACTAGTCACATCCTCTCTCTCGTACTGAGGCCAGACATATCTGCTGTGTCTGTGCAGGATCCAAAGAGAGGCAACATAGTCAGAGAGGGCCCCTGCTCTCTGTTAGGGAACTCGCATGAAGGCCAAGATGAGCATCTGCTATATGTGTACAGGGGCCCTAGGACCAGGCTGTGTATGCTCTTTGGTTGGTGGTTCAGTCTATGAACCCCCATAGACCCAGGTTAGGTGACTCTGTAGGTCTTTTTGTGGAATCCTTGACTCCTCTGCCTCCCTCATTGTTCTCGCAGCTCTTCCATAAGACTTCCGGAATCTTGTCAAATGTTTGGCTGTGGGTCTCTGTATCTGTTTCCATCAGCTGCTGGGTGAAGCGTGTTAGAGGAGTTGTGCTAGGTTTGTGTCTACAAACATAGTAGAGTAACATTAACAGTATCAGGGATTGGTTCTCTCCCATTGGATGGGTCTCAAGCAGGGCCATTCTTTGATTGTCCATTCCCTCAGTATTAGTTCTGTCTTTTTTCCTGCACATCTTGTAGGCAGGACAAATTCTGGGTTGAAAGTTTTGTGGGTAGGTTGGTGTCCTTATCCCTTCACTGAAAGTTCTGCCTGGCTATAGAAGGTAGCCATTTCAGGCTTCATATCTCCAGCTTTTGGGAGTCTTAGCTAGGACTACCCCATAGACTTCCTGGGGCCTCCCTATCCCAGGTGTCTGGGAGTCTCAGAGATGACCCCAGCCTCCGATTGATTGCCATTTTCTCACCTGGTCCTCTCTCCCCGCTCTCCCTGCTCCTAATCCCCACTCCTGCTTTCCTCCCCACCCTCCCTCCTACTCAGTTCCCTGCCTCCAGCTACCTCTAATGCCTATTTTTGGGGAAAAAAAGGCTCTCTTGGAACTTGCTCTGTAGACCAGGCTAGCCTTGAAGTCAGTTATCTGCTTGCTTCTGCCTCATAAATGCTGGTATTAAAGGCATGCACTACCACCTCATGGCTTTATAATTTCTAAAAATGGATTTCAAGTTAGCTTTCAAATTATATTGTCTTATTCAGAATCACATTTTAAAATGTTCTTCATTGTGTATATATTTGTACATATGTCACTGCTTTCACTCTTTAACGTTTAATCATCCTTGACGATTTACTCTTATTTGTCATGTAATTATATTCAGAAATTTTTACTCCTCTGTAATACTGCTGTTTCATCAGTCAGTGAGCAAAGGAGTAGAAACAGCACCCCTGTTAGTAGCAAACAAAGCACCAGCTCTGAATTATGGGGTGGAAACGTCAAAAGGTGTGTCTGTTCTCCAGAAGTCAGGCAGGGGACACCCAAGGAAAGGACAGTGGGACGCTCTGTAATGAAGGGTGGGCTGCTGTGTGTGGAACAGGACTCCTCTCACAGGGTATGAACAACGCTCATTCTTGACCTTTAGGCTGGGTTGGGAAAGGAAAGAGAGCTGGTGGGAAGTCCTCTGTCTTGACTCACATCCCACTGATGGGCCAGGCATCAGCCTCTGCACCATGTTCCAAACTCAGAAGGACTGCTCTGGGCCAAGTTTGTTGCTGCTGTGGTGCTGGAGCAAAGCCAAGCTCACAGGCGAGTGCTCCCCTGGTGAGCAGCATCCCTAGCCTCTTCTGAAGCCTCAGTCTTATAACTGGAGCTCTCATTTCTCTTTTGGGCTGAGTCTGTACATCAAGCATGTGACCCCGCTCTTCTCACCATGCTTCCGGAGCAGTGCCCCTTTTGGGTAGAGTAGATTTGATACTGAAGATGGTTGCTGAAGGATTGTTTGTTGGGCCAGCAAGATGGCTCGGTGGGTAAAGGTGGCTGATGCCAACCACAGTGACCAGTGTCCATTCCTGGACTTCACACAAGGTGGAAGGAGAGAACTGACTCCATGGTTGTGTTGTAAACTCTAACAGCTCCCACAGTTATAAATATACAATTAAAGTTTAAACAGTCCATACATGGCAGTGCAGCCAAGATTGGGCTCTTCCTCAGGATGGTTTTCTTACTGGTACACACTGCTCTGTACTGACAGTCACTAGGGTTTTTACTTGGATTTCAGCTGTTTGGATGGCTCTTTGGCAAAGTGCATCCTGGTGCTGTTGTTTTTGCTGTATTAGCAGCAATGTCTATTCAAGGTTCGGCAAACCTCCAAACCCAGTGGAACATTGTGGGGGAGTTCAGCAACTTACCCCAAGAAGAGCTCATCGAGTGGATCCGGTACAGCACGAAACCAGGTAAAAGTGACGAGGAAGCCCTGCTGTTATCTAGTTGGCAGTCTTTTCCACCACAGTTTTATATATTACCGCAGAATCCTACCTGAAGTTTTTAAAAGGCGCTCCCCCCACTGGCTCCATGGCTTAAGGAGGGAATGCTGTACACACCTTAGCGATTTATTATTGTGCTGGAGTTTTTTGTTTAGTTTTTTTAAAGTTTTTTTTTTTCATTTGTTTTACATATATGGGTGCTCCGTCTGCATGTACACCTGCAGGCCATACGAGGGCATCAGATCCTAGTGTGGATGGTTGTGAGCCACCATGTAGTTGCTGGGAATTGAACTCAGAAACCTCTGGAAGAGCAGACAGTGCTCTTAACCGCTGAGCCATTCTCCAGCTTAGCTATTTCCATATAAATTTAAATTTATAAAAGTTTTCCCATGTTGTAAATGCTACATTTAACATGATTGTGTCATGTTTCCTCCCTTAATGAAATTCCAGTCCCATTTCCTCTTACTTGAATCGTGCCCTTTATTCCACATGTCCCTGTGGAAACTTGCTGTCCCAGGATGAAATGGTTGTTGCTGTGAAACTTTGTCACTTGGATACTGCTCTCCAAGGGATTAGAAAAGGAAAGGAACAAAAATGGGGGGGGGGGTTGATAAGCATTCTTCAGCACTGATGACTCCCCAAGCCTGGCTGCAGACCTTCCCTTAGCCAGCCATCTGGCTTCATTCTGTTGCTGCTGCCCTTGACTCTTTAGCTTGTAGTCTTCCTGGCCTTCAGCCACCAATGTTACTTGTGAAGGAACTGTGCCGCTCTGATGGAAGCCCCTGGTGGTGCTTGTCCAGCATGTCCTGAGACCATGTTATTGCTTCCAGATGCAGTGTTTGCAGGCGCCATGCCCACCATGGCAAGTGTGAAGCTCTCAGCTCTGCGGCCTGTGGTGAACCACCCACATTATGAAGATGCAGGCCTGAGGTGAGTGCACGGGGGCATCATAGGAAGGACAGGTGTTCACACAGACAGACTTTGAGTGAGGAACACAGCAGAAAAGCAGTGGGTGAGGATCAGCAGGATTATTTCAGAGTTGTTTATGGAGAAGGAGATGCTGAAACTAGGCCGCTGGTCTAGAAACAAGACCGTTGAGGCTCCATGGTGCAGGAGAGTTGTTTGGTACTGTTTCCTGTTGGGCAGACAAAAAGAAATCCTGTCAGTTTTCCAAGGTATCCAGGCTTCCTCAGTGTCATCGTCCACAACTATCCAACACTCAGCAGTTTAAGGTTTTTAGTAAAGCTGTTTCCTGATCAGCTTTTTTCTTCAAATCTTAAGAGTCAGTTGGAAGAGATTCATTCAGTGGGATTTCTGCTCTGCTTTTGCAGTATTGTTTGCTGTAATGAGCTTAGATATTTTGTGTGGTTGTGTAAGACTTACTTATTTTTTCCATAAATGATACCTTGTATTCTCTTAGAATACATCTCTTAGAGATGATAGATTTAATATAGATGCACTTCCTAGAGCAGATAAAGCTATTCATTTCCCAAATGATCAGATGAATACTATTAGTATACTGATTGGCATAACAACAGGGTGTATACATTTTATAAATAAAATGCTTTTTCATTAAAAAAAATCAATTTCAGTGAACTAATTTCCAAAGCAATTCTGTAAAGTAAGATTTTCCTAAATCAAGAAGTCAAGCGGAGAGTTGTGTGGGCTGAGCAGGTGCCTCTTGCAACGGAGCTGGTGTGCTTGCTCTCACCTCTTTCAGCACAGGGTTGCTGGACAATTAGGAACACAAGCCAGGGAGCAAAGGGAAGACTCAGGTTGGAAATTTGCATTTTCATTGGAGCCAAGAGCCTTTGCCCTGAGCCCTGGTTCACCTTCTGGTTGTCATCCCACCTTAGCCCTGTGCAAACTGCTCAGAGGTGTTCCCTCCCACCTCCTCTCTCCTCTGGAGCGTGCATAGTTTCATCCCGTGCATGCTTCCGTGTAACACTGATTGTATCTTTTTTTTAATCCTGAATTTTTTTTTTGCCTACTTATCTTTTTTTTGAAGAGCCAGAACAAAAATAGTATATTCGATGTATAGCCGAAAAGCAGCTGAAGAAGTGAAGAAGGAGTTGATGAAATTGAAAGTGAATTATTACATTCTAGAAGAGTCATGGTGTATACGAAGATCCAAGTGAGTATTTCATACAGTTGATATTATATAATCATAAGAGTAAAAAGTTAGTTTAGACTCATGATAAGAGTTTTATTTGTAGTACGTAATATGGTATATGTAAAATAAAACATTTCCAGAAGTATGGGTGAACCCGGAGCTTGAACATTTTACCAAGAGTTGAGGGCATTGTGAGGAACACTGCTGTTTTAAGTCAGAACTCTTACTATAGTTTTTCTCAACCGAAGCCTTCAGGAGAATGCTCAATCTGTGGCTCAGTTATCCTTGTCTCCTGTTTACTTCAGTGATATTATGGGCCATTAAAAGAAATTGTTCACCTGAATTTTATGAATGAAAACATAGCATCTACATAGCTTTGTCTAGGAGACCTAAGATAGTTACTGGCTATGGAAAGCCCTTCCTATGAGTAGGTTCCAGGTAACTTGAATTTCATCATCATTTATATAAAATGTTACAGTGCAGAACATGTCTTAAATGCTTGCAACCAGTGTTAAGGAGATGTATTAGCAGTTAAGCAAACTGGCTCCTCCTACAGAGAACTTGGGGTTCCCTTCCGGGCACCCATGAGGTGGCTCACAACTATCTGTAACTCCAGTTCCAGGAGATCTGATGCTCTCCTCTGGCCAACTCAGGCACATGTGTGATGCACACATACACTCTGCAGGCAAAACATTCATACGTATCAAAGAAAAACTTGAAATGCTTATAGCATGTGGATATAATGGAATGCATGTACTCACCAGTTATCTTTGTTCTGCACATTGTACGGAATCCAAGTGTAAGGACTTGTAAGAAGGCAGTGCTGGGGCTGGAGAGATGGCTCAGAGGAAAAGAGCACTGCCTGCCTTTCCGCAGGTCCTGAGTTCAATTCCCAGCAACCACATGGTGGCTCACAACCATCTGTAAAGAGATCTTGTGCCATCATCTGATGTACAGGTGTGCATGCAGATAAAACATTGTATACATAATAAATAAATAAATCTTAGAAAAAAGAAGGCAGTGCTGGGAACACGTGCGACAGCTCTGTGTCCTGACAGCCCTCTGCTAAATTAGGGTCATTTCATCTCCTTGGGCTTGGAACAGGGACATCACTGGCATAACCTTTCCTCCAGTTGATGAACATTGACCCAAGATTCATCCTAGTTTTCTAGGCCCTTGGGTGACATTTCTTAATACATCCAAATTGCCGACACTTTGTATCTGTCAAGACTTGTCTTGATAAAGCACTTTACACAACTCTGGTGGTGCTATCCTCTGATAGGCAGAGAATTTGGTTTTATGTGTGTGGTTATGGACATAGAGGAAATGGAAGATGAAAGAAAGTGGTTCTCTACCTGTAGGTTGCAGGCACTTTGGGGGGGTCAAAAACCCTCTCTCAGGAGTCACCTAAGACTGTTGGAAAACAGAGATGTTTACATTACCATTGATAACAGTAGCAAAATTCCAATTAGGAAGTAGCAGTGAAAATGTGTTTCTGGTTGTGAGTCACCACAACATGAAAAATTATATTGAAAGGGTCACAGCATTGGGAAGGTTGAAAACTACTTATAGAAGGTAATACATGTTGCCTTTAAGCCAGATAGCACTGTTTAACAGGCTTCAGCTCACTTTGGACACTCAGATTGTAGGAGGGAAGAACACATCTCCCCATCTGGACATGGACTCACTTGCCCTGGTTGTGTTGGTTTCAGCAGGAGTGGGAGGCGGAAGCCAGGAGGTGGCTTTGCCCTGTCTGCTTCTCATTCCTGTTCCTGTGGGAATCCAGGAGGACTGAAGACATACCCCCAGGAAACCTTAGTCAGGTCCACTAACTGTGCTTTGTTTGTATTCTGAGAGGGAAATTAGTTAGGGTTTCTATTGCTGTGATGAAAACACTGTGACCAAAAAGCAAGTTGGTTTATTCACATTGCTGTTCATCATCAAAGGAAGTCAGGGCAGGAACTCAAACAGGGCAGGAACTTGGAAGCAGGAACTGATGCAGAGGCCTTGGAAGGTTACTGCTTACTGGCTTGCTTCTCATGTCTTGCTCAGGCTGCTTTCTCATAGAACATAGGACCATCATCCCAGGGATGGCAACACCCACAGTGGGCTACCCCCACAAACACTTGTTCACTAATTGAGAAAATGCTTTACAGCTGGATCTCATGGAGGCATTTCCTCAACTGAGGCTTCTTCCTCTCTGATGACTCCAGTTTGTGTCAAGTTGTCACAAAACAGCCAGTACAGAAGCCAAAGGAGAATGTAGATGGACATGGAGGAGTAGACACATTTTTATCCTATGTTTATGTGTACCAGGAGAACTGAGTTTCTTGGCAGGTGTTTCATCCAGTATTGGAATTTTCTGTTATTCTGTCTGCCTTCAGTCTCCATCAGTTATGTTGGCCAGAGACACCTGCAGCTTGCTGCAAATACTGTAAAATAAAATATGTCAGAACAGTGGAAGCAAAAGGAACTTGGGAGAGGAAAAGAAAGAAAGCGTAGTGCTGAGAACTTGTGTGTTTTTGTGTGTGTGACAGAGACAGAGAGAAAGATCTTATAAGGGCATAATGATATGGCTTGATCATTCCTCAACTATATCACCCTGTGAACAACAACTAAAATATACCCATTTTTAAATTGGTAATTGTAGATGAGTTTTTATAACCTTTTACATTTTCAAAGAAAGCTTTTCTTTGAAACTAGTCATTTCTTTGAATTCTAGTCATAGTTTGTATAAAGTTAAAATACTTATATTGAGAGGGAAATAATTCAAATCCCCACTGGTGCTTCCCCCAACACCACGTTGGTGGGGTTTTTTTGTTTGTTTGGTTTGGTTTGGTTTTGTTTCTGTTTTGTTTTGTTTTGGGGGGGAGGGGCATAGTGGGTATTGCTCAGTTGTCCTGGTCCTGAACTGGCCTTAACTGAAGCTTCTGATTCAACCCTCTGGGCATCCAGAAGGTTATGGATAAGGACCACGGTGTCCATTGTCACCGATGATATTGAAAGATGGGGCTGGCTCCCTGGGAAGACTTACACAGTGCCAGTGATGGGTATCTCATTGGCAGGCAGGGCTCACAAGCCAGCTCTTCGCCCCTTTACTTTACTTTAGCATGTTCAACTCTGGAACACCCAGACTAGGCATTGAATTCTTAGCTGTCATGTTTTCTACCACCCCAAGTATAGTAACAGTTCAGCCTTGACATGCATGAGAACATTAAGGGTGGACACCAAATGCCCAGCCTCATTCTAGTTCTTCAGCTCTGTGGCATCAAATGTTAATGAGGCTGCTCAGAAAGTGCACGGTAACCCTCTGGTGCCATCACTGGTAAGCTCTCTGGCTGTTAATCTGATGGAGGCAAAGTGAAAAATTGTATCTTAGACACAACGAACATTTAAGTTAAAAAAGAGAGACAGGCATCGAAATGCAGTGGTGTTGCTTTATGGCAGCAAAGTGGAAAATAGCCGAAGTGTACATCCATGGGAAGAGTCCTTCAGTAATGATCTGACAGCTATGAAGAGGGGCAAATGGATTTTTGTGTACCAAGATGTAGAAAATAACCAGATTGTACTGTTGATAAGTTCCATAATGCCCCCAATTTTGTGAAAGCAACTCAGAGCTGCCCCTGTCTCTGTTTTGTGTGAGAGCGAACATCAAAGCTCTAGCAAGATAGACAGATGCTAATGTTTATAAACAGTGCCTCTGAGAAATGATAGTCAAGGCTTTGGCACTGCTAAAGTGAGTGTTGGGCTAGGTAGTCACAAAGGATAAGAGGCAATGGAACTTGGGCTTCTCATGAATATTTTCTTCTCATAAAAAAAGAGCAACAATGAACATGCTTGAGAAACGGGGAGGGGAGAGAGAAACTGACAAAAGAGCCATGGTCAGTTTTCTATAATTTTAATTTTTCTTTTTATTTGTACTGAGAATTGAATATTAGGCCCTCATTCATGCTATTCAAGTACACATATGCAAACCTAATTGCATTTTGTTTTGTTTTGTTTTGTTTTGTTTTGAGATATCATCCCAGTAACTTGCTCAGGCCAGCCTTGAACTTCAGATGTTCCTACTTTACCCTCAGTGGGATTATAGGCCTGTGCCACCAGCACAGACGTTTGTTTTTCATAAAATCTTCCAAAACAAGTAAAAATAAAAGAACTGCATGAGAATACAGCACCTGTGTCTATAAATCTGATCTTGGTTTAAAATGCTAAAATTATTTAGATGATTTATGTAGGCAAATATAAGTTGATAATCTAATACCAGGTTCTGTTTTAGTTTTGTTTTTGAGACAGGGTCCTGGTTGTCCTGGAGCTTGTAGACCAGGCTGGCCTTGCACTCACCAAGATTCACCTCCCTCTGCCTCCCTGTGCTGGGATTAAAGACATGTGTCACCATGCTGAGCTACTTACATTGTTATTTATAAAATATATTATTGGCTGGGCATTCTGGCACACACTTTTACTCCTAGGCTATCCTAGACCATACAACAAGACCCTGATTTGGGAGGAAAGAACAAAAAAGTACATTGTATTTGAGATTTAATTGTTCACTTAGCCAAGAAGTAAGCTTACCGCTATTAGGTGTAAGGCAGACCATATAGCTAGAAATATGCTTAAACTGGACTACAGGAGGGTTTCTGGTGGTTAGATAAGGCCAGCATTCCACAAGAACACTGATGAACCAGTTCTCATCTGCCTAAAGGGCTGTAAGAAGTCATCTCTCTTGTCTCTATCAGAAGGGACATTTGGCTCCATTGATATGCATGTGTGGTTGCATATCAAAGCCCATGGTGAGTCTCCAAGCTCTTTCAGCACCTTCTCACAAGTACTGGTTATACATTTCAAAGTCCACACTAAGTCCCTGCCCCTCTCACCTCAGATCTTTATGCCCTATGTCCCAGCGCTGTTCCCACTGTTCTCTCATGATTCTCTCTCCTGCTGTTCTCACTTCTCTTGCAGATAACCCTACCCATGTTCAGTCTGTTTCTCTTTCTCTCTGTTCTGGACTCTTCCAGATGCCTCTAGCTATTCTCTCTCTCTCTCTCTCTTGGTCATGTCTGTTGTAGTGTTCCTCCCAGTCCCAAGCTTCCAGAATAGTGACTATAGTCACTATTGGAGGTAAAAGACAAAAACAAAAACAAACAACAACAACAAATCTAGAATCCAGAGCAGAGAGAGAAAAAAATTGGACATGTGTAGAGGAATCTCTTGTGACTGTATGGAAGCATCACCTGTCAATAAAATGTCGTTGGCCTATAACTGAGGCAAGAAAGAGAAAGTGGGAAATCTGTCTAACAGATGTGTTTATGTGTATATATATATATATTGAGTATAATGTATCTATATAATATATAATATAAAATATATTATAATATATACATTATATAATATATATATACCCAAATACTTAAGCCATATAGCTAGCCTCATCTCTGACTATCTCATAACCTAAAAGAGCCCATTTATTCTAATCTGCAATCTCCATGTGGCTGGTTACCTCAGCTCAGGTATCATGTATCTGTCCTCTTCACATCTTACCAGGCAACTGTCCCATGCCTGGCTCTATCTCAGAATCCTTTCTGCCTGACAGATTTCACATTTTCTTTTTCCTGCCTCAGTTATAGGCCAACAGCATTTTATTGACAGGTGATGCTTCTATACAGTCACAAGAGATTCCTTCTAAACATGCTTAATTTGGCTTTCTACTCTCTGCTTTGAATTCTGGAAGGTTTTGTTGTTGTTTGTTTTGTCTTTGTTTATATCTTTTATCTGCAATACAAATCTAAACTATACCATGGAGTGGCCATATTGGCAGTTTTTTTTTTTTTTTTGTCTCTCCTATACAATCACAATAAGACTTTCTTTTAAATTGACCTATTTTAGAGTGTAATGAATACAGCTTTCCCATGAGTTAAGTAAAGTTCATAATTTTTTAAAGCTAATACTTTTGTACTCTGAGCCTGATGCTGTAGATATCTGCCCCCAGTCTATAATCTCTTGAGTGGCAGGCCGCTGCTGTGGACATCTTCCCACTATACACAAGTGGAAACCAACTGAGGGAAGTAACTAACTTTAACAGCACATTCTGAACTAGCATCTGAGACAGGGCTTACCAGAGTGTCTCAGCTGTCTTATCCAGTCCCTGGCGTATGTATTCTGTATGTTTATCCTTACACTCCCTGTTGCTATGCTCCCCTGGTGCTAAAGAGGAGCAATGGCAGCTTGCAAAAATAAAGTAACTATTATGATACTAAAAATAATAATAATAAATAATAATAAATTAATGTAAATAGGGAAGCTGAGATGAGATGAGAAGAGTAGATAGTGTGTCTGCAGTTGGACAATGTGCGCTGATTTTAACATGTGCATTTACTTCTCTAGGCCTGGGTGCAGTATGCCTGAAATCTGGGATGTGGAGGATCCGGCCAACGCTGGGAAAACACCCCTGTGTAACATCTTGGTGAAGGATTCTAAGCCTCACTTTACCACAGTGTTCGAGAACAGCGTTTACAAAGTCCTAGAAGTTATCAAAGAGTGACTGCTGCGTGCACCCGCCTCAGAGACCGTGTCAGTAATGGCTTTACCGCTTTGCCACTCAGTCGTGTATCATTTCAGCTCAGATGCAAAACCTTTAAAATACTCTGTTAAAGTAACTGTTTTCAAATGGAAAACATTTTATTTGGTCAGTTTGTCATTCTGATTGTAAAAATGACTTACACCAGATCAATTAGTTACTGTTTCAGTGCACCTGTTAAAATTTGCTATGCAAATGAGTATATGCTTGTACTTGATTTAAATATTTGTGTTACAGTGAACAAAGCCATCTGTGTAGAAATACATCCTGGGTCATGACAAAGATGATGTGAAAATATATTCACTTCTGAACCAGTTAGGGCCTATTTTCAGCACACAGCCTGTTAGCACCTTTGCTTCCTGTCTGTGAACATTTCCGTGATGCTGTCAGCCCATCTCAGCAGTTAGTCCAGGTGTAGTGGCGTATGGGTCACCTGTCCACCTCACCTCCTGGTGCTCTTTTTGATCTGTCTGCTCCTGTGAATCACGTGTTTCCCGCCTGCTGCCACCCAGTCCTGGGTATGGTGGGGAGGGGACCAGCTCCTTTAGTTCCCAGCCATGTGCCATTATGTCTCTTCCCACACAAACTTTTTTTTTCACATAAATGCTATCTTGTCTTTATTAGCAAGTGCTTATTCTTGATTAAAAAATTGGTAATTGTGTATTTTTCTCTTTTTAGTATTAATCAAATATATATTTTAATAGCTTTAATCCATTTAAAAATTTTTATGATCAATTACAGTTTTAAGGAAAACTATTTTGGACAACCCCAAAAAATGATGCATCAAGAGCCATCATATATATATATGAGAGAGAGAGAGAGAGAGGCATAGCTTATGGTAGACTGTAGTGTATGGTAATTTTTCTTTTACTATGAAGATAAAATAAATCATAAATAACTTCTCTCAAAATGTAAATGAAAAATTACAAATGAATAGAGTTTTTATATTTTGCTTTCAAAATTGCCTGTCTTTAATAAGACAAAGCCTTAAGCCTCATATTATAATTTTGCCTCAAAAAAAAAAAAAAAAAAACAAAGAATTCAGTAGGAGGAATGAGCATGTTCAGTTTATCCCATTTTTTCCTTGCTTTTTTTTTTTTTTGAAAAATTTCCAAATATGCGTTGAATTTCTTATACAACTTTTGTTTCTTAGAAGTTAATTGTGTGAAATGAGATTCTTCAAAACCATGGATCTTCATTGTTGTAAGAAATGGTTTTTAGGTTTTAAATTCTAAGTAAACTGTGACCATGGCTGACTACACATTTAATTATACAGTCTTCTCTTTATTAACCACAGGCAGATTAACCTCAGTGTGGATTGTCCTTGAGACCTGAGTCCTCAGGGATGGTTTCCGATGCCCACTCCTGGCAGCCATGGAAGAGCTGTTCTCTTTCTGCCTTCTTCCCAGAGCCCAAGGACGAGGTTGGCTGGGGAAGCATAGCTTGCTCCTATTGGTCACCTGCAAAGACAGCACATGCAAGTGAGGAATGTGGCTTCAGTGAGGAGCCAGCCTCACCGGCCAGGGCCTCCCTCCCTGAGCTGCCTGGGGACTGTCCCTCCCAGGGCCAGGGACTGCTGTTCTCAGTGTTGCACACTGTGACCAAGCTTCCTCATCTGATGCTTAGTTTCATTTCATAAGCTCTTACCAACTCACAAAATAGGGAAGCAGCTGGAGATGGTGGCTTAGGAGTGTTTGAGTGATGGTACAGTAATGCAAGGAAATGGAAAGAGGGCCCTTGAGAAAAAGAGAGAGGGCCTGGGGGAGGGGGCATGCATGCCCTGCCTCATCTGCAGCCATTCTGCATCCCAGTATGGCAGGTGGATACAGCAATTAGGATGTTTTTATCACCTTTTTAAAAGTTATTTTCTAGCCTTACCCTCTAACAATTCCCTTCATAATAAGTTCGCTTGTAATGGTTAGAAATTCTGTACAGAGAAACAAAACATTAAAATACTATTAGCCAGTTCACATGCTGGGAAACATTAAAAGTAGCCTAAAGTAGTTTTTTTGCAGAAACCTTTTGTAACAGGATTTCCTAATGTACCTCGACCAGCAAGCTCTGCTTGTGTTCTAGGCAAGGCAGCTTGGAACCGAGGCCTTGGGGTCCCCGGCACACTTGGCCTCCAGCCTGCCTGGGAGCGGCCGGCGCTCTACAGTCTAATACCTCTATGGTGACATGGAGTGGTAATGAGTTCTGTGTAGCTGACAGTGCAGTATTAAAGCTCAGTATTTTGCATATTTTTAGCATTTACAAATATTTTTTCTTTAGTGTGAGGAAAGGAAGGAAAGACAGGAGGCAACTGAAATAGTTATTATTGTGACATTAAAAAAATAAAGTTGGGTAATACTTCCATAAAAAGATAAGCCTCTAAAATGCCTGGCAGAAAATGTGTGCAGTTAAAGTAATAAAAGGATGTGTCCGAAATAAAATGATACCACACAGGAGTATTGTATTTTTATGAATTTTATGCTCCTTGTTTACATGTACTATATATGTTAAATAAAAAATACATGAAAAATATACCAGGTGTTTTGTGGATTTTTTTTTTCCCCTTCTATTTGTCTTTGCACCCCGACTGTAAACACCTATGCACATTTTCATTTGTAGTCAGATGGCCATCATTTTGTAGTTCTCCCAGAAAGAGGAAGGATAATAACCGTAGGGCCTGTTGCTGATGATAGGTGCTAGAATCGCCCAAAATTTTCTTAGCTTTATGGTCAAAGCCATACATGTTACTTTGTCTTTTCAGTAAGGGACATATGTACTGGAATAATTACAGAGTTGCTGACAGCTTCCCCCCCCATACATTACACCACGGACAAGTTGGCATAAAGGATTCCTCAAATTATAGACTGTATTTGTTCACTCTTGTTTATCCTGCTTGGTGGGAAGGCAGTTTAGAAATGAATTTCTTTTTTTTTGGGCGGGGGGGAGGGTTAACACAAGATTTTTTTGTGTGTAGCTCTAGCACTAACTCTGTAGACAAGACTGGCCTTGAACTCACAGAGTTTGCCTGCCTCTGCCTGATAGGACTAAACCACCCAGTTTAGAACTGACTTTATAACATGATTCTGACATTTTTGGAGAATGATGTTCTGATAATGATAATTCTAGATCTGGTAGTCATCAGAAGTACCCAGAAAGTATAGAAATTGGCCCTTCCATAGAAGCTTCTTACTTGGCTGATCTAAAACAAGGACCCCAGGATTTACATTTTTATTAGCATATAGTAGTTATAAATGATGGTCTTCATTATGACATTCTGGGTCACTTTCACCTCTCCATTGTCTTCTCTTGTCATTTCCTACTTTCATTGAGCCCCTTCCCATTTCCAAAGTGTCTTCTACTTTTATGCCATGTGTGTGCGTGTGTGTGTGTCCCTGCGGATTTATTTAGGGTTGCTACAGGTTCATAGATGCATGAGTGAGGGATTGATTATAGGAGCAGAGATAGTTCACTAGTGACTAAAGACTGAATAAACCCCTCTGTCTGCCTGTTAACTGCCTATAGATCTTCAGGGATAGGTGGGGCCTCATGAACCCCTTCCCCTAGCAATTGTTAAGGGCCCGTATGCAATCAGGAAGAAGTGGGCCATGAACCCTCCCTCCCCACTTGATAACAAACTGTTGATGGGCCCAATCTTGTGTGGGTTTTATCAGTGATCACAGCTGCTGAGAGTGAAAGATTGCAGCGGCCTTAGTAGGTCCTGAAGATGGTTCCACATTGTACCCCTCCCTCTAGCTTATATTCTTTGTGCCCTATCCTGTTTCCTAGGTTCCTGAACCTTGGAGGGGGAGTATAGGTGCCTCCCCTATTCCTGTGCCCAACTATATGGTCTTCGTGTAAATCTGTAAAACAGTTTTCAGCACAAAAAGCCCAAGGCTACTTTTGAGCTTTGTTGTGTTTGTGAATTGTTCTTTACAGTGCTACATCAGGCAAGTGTATTTTCATAAACCAAGGAGGAAAGTCTTAGAAATTTAACTTTCATATTTCCTCCCATGAATTCCAAATAAGGCAGCTAAGAACTTTGTCCCTCCCTCCCTCCCTCCCTCCCTCCCTCCCTCCCTCCCTTCCTTCCTTCCTTCTTTTCCTTCCTTTCCTTCTTTCCTTCCTTTCTTCCTTCCTTCTCTTTTTTCCTCTCTCCTTTCCCTCTTTCTGTTGTGAAGAACTTTAGATGATAGTACTGGCACTGTCTTGACTTTCAAAGCAATATTTTAACTCAATTATCTTTAGCCACAAACTAATATGTGCAACTGAGGGTATCTCTGCAGGTGTCTTACAGGGAAGAGAGCCACACAGAAAGATAAGAATGAAAACCTGGTGCAGACAGGCTTTGGAGGTCTAAGGAAAGATGTTTTATCCCTAATATATTTAAGCACAGTATAATTTGGAAAAAAAGTTTCCTGGTGTAATACAGTCCCTGTTGCACAAGGAAGAGTAATTACATTGAAACTCAATGTAAGATAGTGTTATTTTCCCAAGGTGGGCTCCAGAGGTACAGTGCCTGTACTAGCCTAAGGGCCTGGCCTGGTCTTGGTCATACAGACAACATAGGAGTCATTTGGACTATCTGTTCGTAGCTGTGGAAGCTTGGAGGAGCTTCTGGCTCTAAGAGTCATTGAAGTTACTACCCACCTCCTCTGGTCCTGTTTGTAGAAGCTTGATATGGCCTGGACCAACAGATAACGGAGATCAGATCACCAGGCAGTTAGTCATGTCCAATTCTCAGCTTTCTGGATAGAATGACAACAGGTTTCTGTCTTTCCAATTAGAAAGACAATCCTGTGTGCTTAACATCCCTGGCTTTTCTGTAGATCTGTGGGCACTGGAACCTCCATGCCATGCCCGGAACACAATGTTAAATGACTTTCAAATAACTGGCAATGGTACCTGGTTTTTTGTTTTGGTATTTTATTTGCTGTTTTAAATACAATATGTCATTTTATAATTTTTATGGCACATAGTTATGTTTTCCTTTTGTAGTATGCAAATTTAATACTTAGGGGAGAATTTAATTTAGTAAAATTAAGCTCATTTAGTTGTTACCCTGATTATTCCAATAGCTTTAATCCTTATCAAGCTATTTTTAATAAGAAATGATCATTTTAAGAAGATGTGGTATCATGCCTGGGAACACTCTTTGGGTCCTCGGGTAATGCTTTACTGATGATGTCCTGTGTGGTCTGGCCCCTGATGATCTTCACTCTTCCATTCCTTATTGACTGCCTTCCTCTGCTCCAGAAAAGCCATCTTCCTGGGTGCAGTTTGGATTAGGCTCCACCTCCTTACATTACTGATTTGGGCTTTTCCTAGTAGGTTCCTTCTTAACAAATTCTCAAATTTTGAAATACTGCAGTATCCCATAAAGGTACATATTGGGGGGTTAGAGTTTTTTAAATCCACCAAGAGAGTCTAGAGTCTTTATGTTAATCTCTTGTTTTAACAGGCAGCCGTACTATGTAGCTCTGATTGGAACTTGCTATGTATGTAGATCAGGCTGAATTTGAATTCACAGATATCTGTCTGCCTCTGTTTTCTGAGTGCTGGGATTAAAAGCATGGGCCATATATTAGTCAACGTTCTCTAGAATAACAGAAATTGTAGAATGAATATATATATATTCATTTATAAACATTTATTAATATACATATATATTTACTATAATGATTTACAGGCTGTGGTCCAACTAATCCAAAAATGTCTAGCTAAAAACAGGAAGTCCAAGAATCAAGTAGTTACCAATCTATGAAGCTAGATGTCTGAGCTGGTCATCGGTATACTCTGGAATGTCAAAGAAGTTGGCTCCAATTCTAGTAAAGAAATAGGCTTGCTAGCATGGTGAGAACAAGCAAGCAAAGAGAAAAGCTTCCCTTTTTTATGACCTTATATAATATATAGACGTCTAGCACAAGGTATGAACCAATTAGATCTCAATTAAAGATGTGTCTTCCTACTGCAAAGATACAGATTAAAAGCAACTCTTCCCACTTCAAATTAATCAGAAATTCTTTACAAATGTGCCCTCCATTTTTTGGATTTTAGTTAATTCCAGATGTAGTCAAATTGACAACCAAGAATAGCCATCATAGGCCACAATGCCTAACATGTATTAACATTTTAAAACATTCTTTCCCTACTTCGTTTCTGAGGTCTCTATCCAGTCAAAATAAGAAAGATATCTCTCAAGTACATTCATTTATTAATAGCAATTAATGGAGTTGAGCATTTAGCTCAGTAAGTTACTTGATGAACAAACATGAGGATCATAATTGGATACACAGTACCTAGGTTAAAAAGGGGGAGGACATTATGGGAAGGCAGAGACAGGAGGATACCTGGGGCTTGATAGCCAGTTTAGACAAAAATTTCTCAAATATCATGACTCTAAAAATAAGGTGAAGAAGAATTTAGGAAGCATACAAGCATGAACATATACATGCATGCACAAAGTGATTATTAATTCTTTCAATATTTCTGCTCATCATGGAACTCAATTGTTCTGGTTTATTAATGAAAGAATCCATGTACAATTGCATCCTTTTGCACATGACAAGGCTTGAGGAAGGAGGAACAGTTCAGATTTCACTCATTTTTAAATGAGTGTGCCAACTAGAAATTCAAAGAAAAAAGTACTTTAAAAGTTACTTTGCCCATTCAATATGTATGAAAAATCAACTTTCTTCTCTTTGCGTATTTTTCTTAGAATATGCTTTAAAAAAAAATCAGTGTCTACTTCAAGATGCAGCTCAAGTGTCACTTCTTCTGTGAAGCCTCCCCTGACTGTCATTTGGCCAAGTGAACTGACTCCTATCCATTGTCTCATAGCCCCTGATCTAAGTTTACTCACATGACTTTTCCTATATTATATTGCATATTCACAGAAGGAACGTGTCATATTCCATTGTGAGTCCACATGCCTCCTAGCAATGATTCTGGCAAGTCATGCAGCTTAATGATGTTTTAAATGAATTATACTTTCTATTTACAATATGGTAAGTTCTAGGGGGTATAAAATTATTTTTTTAAACTAAAACAAATGGAGATTTATGTAGTCTAGCTATGGAGAATGAGACATAGCGCATCTTTAGATGAGTTAATATAGTAGGAGAAAAAATGTTTTTAACCAATCACTAGACAGAAATAATTCACTGGCATAAACTAACTTGGCACCCTGGAAAGCAAGGTAGCCAAAGCAAGTGTGTCAACCCTAGGTCCGTGAACCTGGTTGGGGCATATGTCTCAAAGACTGCAGTGTCCAGCCAAGGGTACAATGTGTTTATGACTCAAGAGCAGGAAACCTGGTAATGTGGCTAGAATCAGGGGAGGGTCATTTCTCAAAGGGCGAGAAGAGATTAGTGTGTCATTACTTGAGGCTGTTGGCGAAAAGACAGTAAGCATACAACAATTCCCACTTTTTAGTAACTAAATGGGACCCTGAATCCATCCTGTATGGACTGTGAGATAAAGCATTTGTCTTAATTTGAGCATAGTTTTCTCTTTCAAATGAATTGTCTTCTAGA